TAGAGCAGGATGTCTGTGTGCTTTATAGCCCATTCAGAAGGCAGCAAAGAATAAAATATAACTAGCTCGTTTCTTCCACCTTGCTTAATTCAGCACTTCCATTAGGCAATAAAAGTCCATGTTTTGTGGCAGAAACTGGGGTACTCACAGGGTGTGCAGCCTGATTAAAGTGTCTGTTATCATAACAGAGTGTTTAGTAGCCAAATATTTCTACTGTACTAAGAAATTAAGAGTGAGAGTAGGAGTGTACCGCTGTGTGCATAGGCATTTGCCTGCATATAAGAGTTCCATCTCAAATATTTGCTCTCCATGTAGAACCATCACATTTCCATCCCCTAATGTGGTAAATATGGGCTCTGCAATCTGTGTGTTAACTTATAGATCATATGTAGAGGGAGAGGGGATGATGTTTAAACAGTTACAGACACCATGCCTCAGCTGGAATGAATAAATGGGATAACTGGAGGTAGGTTCCCTATTCCTGCTGGAGAACCCAGTGTGCCCTCGCACACAAGAGGAAAGCAGAGTTTTTGATAGGAGTCAAAGCTCATGTGCTGACAGAGCAGGACCAGCCACCACACAGGGTAACCTTCCACCCTTAGAAGAACATGGATGAGAGGTAAGCAGTGTCAGAAGGGTGGCAGCACTGACTGTGCTTCTTTAATATGCACTGGGAGATGGGGCTCCTGCTGTGCCACATAATTCTGTTTTATGTGTCACACCAGTACCTGTCTAGAATGGAAAGTTTTTTAAATCTGGCGAAGGAAAAAAATTACTCCAGGCAATCCAGCTTCAAAGAACAGATTCCACCACCCTTGGAAACATTCCTGTTTTGAAGTCATGTGTCTCTGATTGATTCCAAGAGTGTATTGTATATTCCAGAGCATGGGCTTGCTCTTCCCCTTCTGTGTTTTGGAAGGATTATTTTATTGCACATAGCGACAAAGCTGCAAAACTCAGTGGAGGTAGGAAATGACCTGTGATTGCTGAGGCTCTTTGAGGACCTTGTGAAGCTCAGCTGCCATCCCGGACTAGACACCACAGAAGGGAAATGCCTGTGAGGGTTCCGATTCTTATGTCGCTTTGTTTTCAGCAATGTAATCACAGTGCATCTGCCTTTGTGTTTATTAGTGTTGAAAATTGCCACTGAGGTGCATTTATAGCTGTGGGTTTGGCCTTGTTCTGCCAAATGTGACTCCAACTGATTGCACTGTATCTTTTCCCCTCCCTCCTGTTAAGTTCTTTCTTGCTTCTACACAAATAGAGACGAGTTGGACTCGATGATCCTTGTGGGTCCCTTCCAACTCAGCATACTCTCTGATTCTGTGAGTTTGTTTTCCCTCAGTTAGTGAGTTAGAGACAAAAAGCTGTGTTTTATGAGGCTAGAGAGAAGCTGCACCACCTGTAACTGGCTGATGGTTGCCTTTTTTTGGTCAGAAATAGTCTAAAATGGTCACAAGGGCTGGTCCTTCAACCAAACACCCTTCTGCATGTTATGTTAATAACCAACCACATGCTCCCTTTTAGGGAATATTCCTTGTCATACCGTGCCTGCCAGTGGCTTCTGTGGCGTCATGACTAGCAAACAAGCTTGGAAAAGCTCTGGTAGCATTGGCAAACAAGCAACTAGTCACGGAGCTAAAGCAGCAGCCCCTAAATGGAGGGTCTGCAGTGTGAGCTCATAAGTGGTGTTCATGTCACTGCTGTTTACCTCGCCTGGGAGCAGCACTAAGCAGCTCAGATCCCCTGAAAGGGCGACCTATAATTAGCGTAATTGGCCACTGGATGTCAGTATCTTGCCACAGAAATGGAACTGACTCTCACTGAGTGCTGTCTGACTTTTCAGGTTGTAGATGTTTCAGGGGGTTATCCAAGCTGATTCAAGTTTTTAGGTTTTGGGTGGTTTTTTTTTCCCCATAGTAATAACTTCATAAAATACTAATTATACCCCCCCAACCCAATCAATGTCTTGTGAAATATGGCTTGAGACAATAACTAAGTAGTGTTTGAATGGCCCAGAAAACTGTTGGAACTTCTCTTAGAGTCAAATGTGCTGATGAGAAGTTAAAAACAAGGAAAAAAACCCCACAGTTGGAGACATTACTGAGCTGATTTAGAGCTGGTCTGTAGGTATACACAGAATTTTTTTGCTTTGATTGCTACCTCCCATATTAACCAAGTAAAACCTTCTCCCATGCAGCACCATTTTACCTGGACCTTTTGCAAGTCAAAAGCAGAGAGAAAGAACAGTATTTCTTGGTTAGTTTTCCCTCTCCTAAAAAAAAAAAAAGAAAAGGAACAAAGGAAAAGAGAAAAAGAAAAAAAAGTAAAAGCAAAGCAAGAGGGGGATATAGGACTCTCCAGTCCCACAGATTCATGTATTTTTAATCTATAATCTTCAGTGAGCATAAAGGCAATTTTCTAAGGGTGCATAGCAGATATGTTTTGCAGGACTTACAAAAGGGGATATTTCCCTTTCGGGCATCACATGGTTGCAGGTGCAGAGAGAGTCAAAGTTATCACTGGGGCACTTCCAGACAGGTGTGAGACACAAGTTCTGGGGAATGTCCTGCTATACAAAACATCTCAGGTGCTAAGGAGGATTAGATGAGGTGTTTTGGAGTGTTCTCCGAAGTTTAGCAGCCTCATGCTACTGAGTGCAATTTTTGATTTGGAGGATTAAAAACTCACTTGTACATTGTACGTTTTCACTGGAATGAAATTGAGCTCAGCTTGCAAGAAAAAAAAAAAAAGTTATTCTTACAGTTTTTTCCCCTTAGGACTAGTGACTGCAGGAGCTGGATACCAACCAAAATGGAAACTAACCAAATTGCCTCTGTGCCCAGCTCTGCTCTGATTGAAGTCAGCAGTAGACAAATTAGACTGGAAATTATCATTTGGGGGAAAATAGACTATGGCAGACAGTACATTCCTTCCCATAACCTCTCTGAAAAGCATCTTTCAGAAATAACTTTCATTGGCAGTTTTCTACATGAACTATATACTGCCTATGCTAAAAATACACATTAACAAACAGTATATTCAGCATATGGTGACTGACTTGCAATACTCAACATGTGTTTATTGTTAGAATTGTAGTGGAAGACTGAACAAATGAGCTAATTAAAGATATCGGTGGTTTGGGGGCTTTTTGTGTGTGCTCTTTTTTGCCTGCATGTAACATCCACAGAGCTGACAGAAAAGCCAGACTGGAAAAGCAGATTTCCCCCTAGAGCAGGAGTTACTGTAGCTCTTCCCAAGTCTGATGTCACTTGATTTTCTTGGTCCTAAGATCATGACACTAACCTCGTTTTCAGTTTAACAGTTTTCCTTTGTGTCCCTTCAGTACTGTTTCCAAACAGCATGATGTCCTAACTTTCCACTTTACCATGTGTTACAAAATAAACAATACCAGTCATTCATTTGTAGAGAGCATCACGGGAATGCTATGCAGCCCTCTGTTAAGGATAACAGTGGCAGCCATGGCTCTCCGATCAGCGGGAAGCTGGAAGGCATCTTCTTTAGCTGCAACACTGAGTTTAACACTGGGAAGCCGCCACAAGATTCACCGTATGGAAGATACAGGTATGAGATTGCAGCTGAAAAACTCTTCAACCCAAATACTAACTTGTACTTTGGAGACTTCTACTGCATGTACACAGCCTACCACTACGTCATCCTCGTGATCGCCCCCGTGGGGTCACCGGGAGATGAGTTCTGTAAGCAGCGCCTTCCTCAGCTAAATATAAAAGATAATAAATTTCTGACCTGTGATGAAGAAGATGGTGTCATGGTTTACCATCACGCCCAGGATGTTATTTTGGAAGTAATTTACACCGATCCTGTGGATCTGTCCCTCGGCACAGTTGCGGAAATTACCGGTCACCAACTAATGAGCTTGTCTACCGCAAACGCAAAGAAAGATCCCAGCTGCAAGACCTGCAATATCAGTGTTGGACGTTAAAACTTCCCTCGTTCCTTAGGAGCCTTCCAACCTCTGTTGCCCATGTCCATAGTCAGACGTTTCTGTCGGAAGCATGCACATGCTGCTCTCACCAAAAGCAAACACGAGTCTTCAAAACCTCCAATAGCGTTCTTAGTATTTCTTCTCTCCCTCTTTCCCTTCTGTTGCCCCGATGCTTTAAATGATTAGAAGCCCTGGGTTTCTTTCTGGCAACCATTTATCCCTAGATGCTGCAAAAATTGTTTTCTGTTTCTTGCCAAACATAACAAAATCCTATATAAACTGCTTTAGCAAAATAAAAATAACGGCTTATAAATGGTGTTTAAATATGCATTCATTTTAACTACTGAACAAGTACTGGGATAACTCTGAACAGCATGAAAGGTTGTAATTGCAGCATGATTTGAATTTCAGAGCCTAGAGATGTCAGCACTTCCAATGTGTTGTTTGACAGTGTTATTTATGTTATTTATATTAGCTAACTGAAAACAGAAACTGTGTCTCGACATAATAAATATAATAGAAAAATATTTTATTTGTACTGTTGTATAAAATATTATACAATCATATAGAATATATAGATTACATTTTAATATCAATTGTATACATATATCATTAAATCATTTTCCCTTATCAAAGATGTAGTTTGTAAACTTCAAATAGCTCTGTATCTGTTCCTGTTGCTCTAGATGACTTCAATTAAAACAGATTTATGAAGACCATTTCTGATTCATAAAAGTTAAGTTATAAATTATTAAGTCAGTACACTGAAACAACCAACCGTCTGCGAAATAAAAAATTCCTTTTTTAGTGTTCATATTTTTTCCTCCAAACTACTTGAAGATGTGTCCATCTTCAAAATCATGCCATTACACGCAAGATAAGTACAAACGTGGTTGGTAGATAATAGGCTTTATAAAATCAAAATCTTCTTACCAAGATAGAAAACAGATTGCTTATACTATGTGGTCAATACAAAATGACAGTTAAAGCAAAACACTAAACATGATTCAACTTACTCAAGTCCCTTTTTCTCTCTTTAATTAATTCTTCCCTCCTTTATGTCTGGGCTAGGTATTTCCCAGAATCCCCCTGCTTTTCATTTCTAATACAAAACCTGCTGATAATCCTTCTGTTAACAGTCCACTTTTCACACCAATGCTCTATCACAAAGAGTGACAAATTTTCCTTAATAATACAAAGTGTGGTGCTCTGAAAGTTAAGAAATATGCATAATTCCAATGGAAAAATAACTTTTTATAATCTTATTTTCAGTAAACAAGAAGTCTAGCAGTCCTCATCAGATAACTGTGACACTCACTTACATACCATGTACTTTATCTATCCAAAATATCTTAGCATAATGCAATAATCTAGTCCTGTTTTAATATATATATATATATGTGTGTGTGGCAATTTATAACACAAGAAGTACTTCAACATTTTACAAAGTGCATGCGTCTAAACGAGCTTTGGTAGTCAGAAAAGCGAATGTTATAGCATCAGGCAAAACAAAGTGCAAAGTTTCGTACAAAAATCAAAATTAGCATGTAGTTAGTTGATCTATTTATTAAGTTCTGTGAGCCAGGTCCTGTGAACTAGTGAAAAGGACAGCAGTCGGTACATTTGGTCTCTCTCTTCCCAGTAACCTCTATTTTTTTCTCTTATCTCTAAAAAACCAATAGTTCCATTTGGCCATCATGTTCTGTCCCTTTTTTTTTGCATAAGCAGCATCACTTTGCTCTACTCCCTGGCACTGGCTTTTTTCTATGCACCTTTTTTTGAAGCTACTGGAATTGAATGCCAACTCTGTCTTGAAAGCCAGAGTATGTCTGGAGTTTTCCCTTAATTCGTTTTAATTCATTTCCTTTAATCAGCACATTGAGAGCCGTCATTAATAGTTAATTCTAGTGCATGTTAATTCTGGAAACAAACGTTGTACATTATCAGGTACTAAGATGTACTAAAAACCTGGAGAGCATTTCCTCACACTTTTAGAGCAGGTCAAACTGAGGAGCTACAACACTTCAGTGTCCTTTTCATTTCTTAATATTCTCACAGTGCACTTCAAGGCTTTTTCAAAAGGAAAAATATATACTATAGTCCACTCACCTGTGCTTAATATTCTTGCATATTGCTGTCCTCTCTCATCCCAGCTATTATAATTGGTAAAGTGCATCAAAAATCTCAGTGTGTCAAGTAATTGTGCAGCAGACCAAGACCTGTAAAATTACTTTATCTTTTTCATTACTTGTTTTTTTTTTGCTAGAGAACAATATCACAGCATTGCATTCACTTCAAATCGTTTTGGAAATATCATGCTTACTGATGAGAACCTCCAGGAGCCTGATTTTGGCTTTTGTGTGCTTGTATTCGGAGTATTCCTCGGCCATTGGCACCCGATCTTCTTTTTGAGGACTCCTATGAAAAGCAGATAACAGTGCCATCACTTTTATGAGTAAGAGGAGAAAATGTCTTTAAAATTAATTCTGCAACAACTAATGACAATTGGATTTTTTTTTTTTTACCAACTGTAAACGACTAAAGATAATTTGACAGGACCAAAAAGCTCTAATAGACAGAAATGAAATACTATTATTTAAAATAATGAATTTTCATATGGCAGAAGATTTTCTTTCTTGACAGCTGTACAAGCATAATCACTTGATTCTCACATGTGTAGAGAAGTTACAACATAGTGCTTTGAAAACTGTTACCAGTTACCACTGCCCATACCCTCTACAGTTTTCAAGAAAAAGGTTTGCTAAATGGAGGAGGAAAAGCAAAGAGTGAAAAGTACCTGGTATTTAATTATGGGTGAAAGAAACAGTGACTTCTGTTTTTAAAACCTGGCCTTTTAAAAATGGCCCAACTGCCAAGTGTAATTCCTGCAGATTGACACCCTCACCAAGAGTCTTTCAGCAGCTTCCCTTCAGCTCAGGGAAGATCCTGTGCTGAGATGGGGGTTATACCAATTGCAGGTGTGACCTGGAAAATCCCCAGCCCCAAGCCATCCTCAGGGATGACCACATCGTGCAGGAACTAAGCAGGGAGATAGATGGACACCTCCACGGTATTTTCCAGTCCCCAGGTGCAGCCTCTTTGTCCTGCTCAGCCCCGAGTGCCCACCCTGGCAGAAACAAACACCCTGCAGAGGACCCAGAGGGAACAGGAGAGGGCTTTGCTGAGCTGGTGAGTTACCTTCCTGTCTGTTTGTAGAATTGCTCCTCAAACTCTCTCAGAGCTTTGCGAAGCCTTTTCTTATCAGCTCTTGTTTCTCTGAGATGTTCAAGCAGAACGGGCCTGTAAGACAGAGACAAGAACATGGGACCCCCTCCTGCTGGGAAGTGTAAAAGCCGTGGCTTTGGGTAACAGAGCCTGCTGGGCTGGGCCATGGCAGGCACTGAGCTCAGTGCCTCCAGATGTTCCACCACACCCCTCAACGATACAGCTGTGCTCCTCCCCTTCTACTGGTACTCTCACCCTTCTATTCTAGTAAAGTGAACGCAGACACTCTGTGGTCAACATGGGAGGAAAAGCATTCAGAACTGAGTCTTGCTAGTGGCCTTAATTCTCTGTGGAATTAATGGAGTTGACACAGCTCAGCATCGCACAGGAGGAAATGCTTTGCATCTCTTTTAACTGAATTAAAATCAACATCCAAGCCCTGCTCATGTCTGCAGCTGTTACCAATCATTACTGTGATGCAGTGGAAATGCCAGTGGTTCCCAGAAGCATCGTTTTTGGAGGCCATGTTTTAGCTAGTGTTCAGAGAAAAAGGTTTTTAAGCAGAGAAAGAACTCTGTGATGGCATTTGCACCTGGCAATTATTGGGGTTTTGCATAACAACAAAATGCACAGAAATATCTTCCTAGCATTTGTGAGCAAACTATTGCACACAGAGTTCATTTACATAGAAATCTAAGTAACTTTTATTTATTCTCAATTTTGGTAAAGCCTAGTTAGCTTCCTTTATGCATCTAAGAACTCCCAATCAAAACACAAGAAAAAGATACCATCCCCTAAGCTATGAGAACATATCTGTTCCTGGAAGGCATAGTCCTCAACAAGTTTCTTGATGGAGTGATAACAGCATATTATGGGCATCTTGAGATCTGTTGTCTCATGCAATCTGAAATTCTTAACTACAAATCATAAGGTTTTGGTTTTGCAATGGAGGGTTGTGGTAAGTTTTCAGAGCAGACAGGCACTAATAACTAGGCTTAGGCAAGGCATAAATTGATTTTACATGCATTCAGTGGCCTCCCATGTGACCAGTTGCTGTATGACCTTTCATGCAGCTCCCCTGTTGCTGTTTGGATGCCTGAGGTCACTGGCATTTTTACATCACTCACACAGTCAGTCCCAATACACACACAGAGGAGCAGACTATTGTCCAGTTTTATGACAGCTTTGTAAGAACATAAGTAGTTAGATAGCTACAAATTTTGCAGCAGTTAAAGGTAGGTCTGCATACCTCTACGATGCCATTATGTCGTATCTACCATGCTGTCTTTATTTCTCTTATCTGCTTACTTTCCTTTACCTTGCTCTTCCTGGACTTGGCACAAAGTTGTTTGAATAAATAGCTCAAACCACAGGTATGCTGCCCAAACAACAAATCTGCTCTGCCTCTTCTCTCACATAAGAAAATGCTGAATCACTCCTTTAGTGTAGAATATCCCTGTGTAACAGGTATGGCTCAGGTTTCATTTACAGAGTCTACATGAAACATTTTAAAAATACAAGGGAAAAACGTGGGAACTTACATTGTTGCCTCGTGTAAATTGGACATAGACAAGGCTGTTTGCCTGTAAACTTTCTTTTCATCCAGAGGTGAGACATGTGCAGGCTCACTCTCCTCCTGAGAGTAACACAGGTGCTCTTCAACCGGGAAGCAAGACATTGGACCAGATGACAACTCATGGCTGCTTTGAGAATGGTCTTCATCTGAGTCTTCCTCCTCCTGCTTGTGAAATGTGAGGCATTATTTAATTAATTGTTTAAATTGGAATACTCACAGTTCATAGGATGACAACAAAAAGAATTAGGATCTAACTTCCTGGGTGTATTCCTTGCAATAGGTTACACACATTGAAAGCTTTACCCAAGTAAATCTTGGTAATCTTTATCGAGATTGTTCATGAAAGCACTCGTGGGGTCACTGGGTAACTGAGTATTGCCTACCATGAGTATAAAGGACAGAAGTTGGCCCTGCTTCTGAGTATCCCCAGCCAGCAATTTATTTCTGTTTGCTCTAAAGCCCTTCTATGTAGCAAAGATGTAACTAACATTCTGTATTTATTTCAGCAGTGCAGTCTGGCTGGAACTTGTACTCCTCTTATATACCATCTACTGTGTGCATTGTGTCCAGAAATTCTGACTGTAACAAGGGTTGTAAGGAGAGATTCCACAGTTTTATAGCTACAAACTTTAACTACCAAAATAGGTGATTACTGCTGTCTTACACTCCTCCATCCTCAGAAGAAAAGCTGAGCTATTGAAACTGAGGCTTAAATATAAAACTTCCATGGGGCAAAGCTCCTACAAAGTAATGCAAGGGAGAATTTCAGTTAAATTTGCTAATAAAATACCTCTGTGCAATGTGTACAAAGCTTTATATCGGGATTTTTCAGAGAAATCTGAAGCTCCACTCTCATCTAACAAGACAATAATAATTTTTAAAATCGACCTAGCTCCAATTACTATTAGGTTAGTATTTATGATAGACAAGCTAATTAACTTTGAAGTAGCCAGATGCCACTACTTTTACTGCCCATGCGACCAGTACTGTTACATTACAGTGATATATTATTAAAGTATTACTAATATTTATATGCTACATGATTGATAAAAGCATTGTCAATAAGTTACAGAAGCAAGACACAGTGACAGCAGAGATCTTCATGAAAAGAGAGAGCTTTCCTCCTGTGTTACAAGTGTTAGCCATGATGAAAAAGTAACGCCAGCCTTTGTCTCTTACCCAGGCCACTGAAGTACTGCCTCAGAAACTGCTGCCATAAATTGTACCCTGTGACATGCCTAGAAGCTGAATTTTACAGAGCATTTGCTCTATTTGAAATATCAACACCCTGTATTAACCAGTGAGCAGATTTTTTAAATATCAGTAGCTGTATTGCTGCCAAACGGACATACAGGTACAAATCAAGCATGGCATTTTCTATGGGGTTTTTTTTACAATGGATATGAATTCTTTCCAACTTACAATTGTTGTGATCAAAGATGGAGCTGCAAGAAGTTTCTTGATAATTCTGTATCTGTCGTAAAGAGGTTTCATGAGACTCTTTTCTTGCTTAGTGACCTAAAGAGAAATCATAACAAAATGTAGTCCTCCAAAATTAAAAATAAAAGGTAAATTAAAAAGATTCTCATTTGCTCCTGTAAAGCTGAGAAAGGTATTAGAGGAATATGACCAGATGTGTATTTTGCTTCCGCAGATATTCCATGGGCACTGTAATTTAATTCATACAATTCCCATAAAGGAAAATGGCAATCTGTTTTCTAATGGAGAATACCCAATGTGGTTTCCTCACGTCCTGGAGCCATACCAGCCAGGCAGAGGGGATATTATTCACTTTCTGAGGATGCTGGTGGAGCAGTAAGAGTTAAGATACACTGCTACTGTGCCTTGCATTGGTATCTCACTCACTCAGCTGCAAGAATAGCAACAGGCTCCCTGCAGGAATGTGACAGTCTGCCTGGGACAATATGCCCATAGACTCAGTGGGATGGAGAGCACCAGGAACACAGCTTTACAGCCTCCACATGGAGCTGGCTCCATGCAGGATTGCTGCATGGATTCCTCACTGGAACTGCCTTTCACAAACAGGATTAGCTGTCTGTTCATTTAGTTTGCTCTTGGTCTTTTATGAGCGCTAGAAGCATTGATTTGGAAGAGAGTATGATTTAAATTCAGCTGTTAAGAGCCTGATCAAGCCACAAATATTCACCAATACAAAAATAAACCTTATGGAAACTAGCTGTGTGGTAGACTGACTTACTGTACTAAGGAAAAAAGAGTGAATTCCACAAGGAAAGACAAAAAAGGCCTCAACCAACCAACAACCCCCATCATCCCCAGAAAAAACAACATGTTCCTCAGTGATTAAATGCCAAAGCAGGGTCATTTGCAAGCTAGTCCACCATCAGCCTCTGCTCCTCAACTCCCATGCCTATGAGCTCTCTGCATACAGTGTCACTGATTTTTGACACAGTGAAGCCGAGGTCCACCCACTCAGATGAGTGAACACACAGCAGCTCTGAAGAGACACAGACTGGCTGACAGTGCAGACAGTAGTCCAGAGCTGCTCAGAAACAGCCAAATGCCTGGTCAGCAGAGTAAGGGTGACAGACAAACACAAGGTGGTGACACCACGTATGTCTGACTCACTGAGTAGCTGGGACCATTTCTAGAGGCACATTTATTTCACTGCAGAATGTCACTCCCAGTGAGTCCACTTCTCTTCCCCAGTTGTCATGTCCCATTTGATTACAACCCGTAAGAGTGGCTCCAGGGAATGCCAAAGAGCCAGAATAGATCATTTTTTGTTTGAAACCTGGTCAGTGCCCTCTCTGTCTGACCTTGTTAAGGTAAGTCTGGATGATAGTGATACTGAGCCATACTATACATCAGCAGGGCAATCATCATCCCCAGTGTGCTCTGCTGTGTTTCAAGGCTGCTGTTACAGAGCTGCTTCAACCTTGAGAAGAAACACCCTCTCTGAACTCCATGCTATAAAACATGCCCTATCATTCCCTTTTTTGAATCAAGTCTCTTTTATGTCTATATAGCACTAATAATTTCTTTTTTGTTCTCCTTCTTAGGAAGTATAATTTCTTCATACCCTCTCCATCCCTCAGCTCTCATTCCAAGCCCAAAGATGAACAAAAATGGTTTTATCCAAGATGCAGAGATAATTTTAACAGCTGGCATATTTTTGGACACATGCTGGTGCTGCTCCCCTTTTCCTCTACCACTGGAATTACTAGCCAGAAACAGAGACAGTCATAAGAACACAAACACAGATATCAAACAGAAATTCCACAGTTGTTTATAGACAAATTTTCAAGTCATCATCTCACCAATGGTGGAATTTTTTTTTTTGTTTGCACCTACATTCAGGAATTAAGTCCCTTGAAAGGATTTTAATTAATAGTTTTAACTGCTGCTGTGTAGTAAAGGAAAAAACACGTGACAGGTCATGTAATTTTGTAGTTCATGTCCTAGATGGTGCCCTATGCAAAACCTTTCTCAGCTGCTAAGCACTCTAACCATGTATCATAGCAGAGCCAAGGATGCATGAGCCAGGTCTGCTGTGGAGATATCATCTCCCAACTTTATCATCAAATCCTGCGTTTTCCAATCATGAAGAGAGATAAAAAGATTCTCTTTTTATTTTAGTTTATTTTTCTAACATATAAACCACATTCATCAGTATCAGGCAATAACATTTATACCTGAAAATTAGTTTGAAATAACTAAAATTATATTAATTGTGTAAAATTCATCTAAATATATTTAATATACAAGCCCAAAAATATTTGTTAGATAAGTTAGATAATTTTTAATGTACCTATCTTTCCATGGCATACTTACAGGTTCTCCATGAATACTCTCAAAATACAGTAGACATTTCTGAAGATTGATTTTTTCCAAAGCCATTTGCTTTTTTGTCATATCCTATTTAAAAGAGTTATTTATAAGATTATGAGTCAGGATTTCATGACGAGGGTACAGGTACATATCTGTTTAATAATCTGCTCTGCCCAGATAAACATTAATAATGAATCCTCTTTCTGCCTGCATTGAGGTCAATGGGGACTTGGCATTAACTTAGCAAGAGCAGAGTCCAAAATTATATGACTGAATCTTTAAATGAATCAAAGGACATGTTACTCTCTCAAGGCCTAATGCAGAGCTGATGGCAGCTATGGAGATACTTCTGCTGATTGGAGTAGTCTTTCTGTCAGGCTTTTACCAGTGGAAAATACACTGTATTTGCTTTGGCTGCCAAAGGGGAGCCTTTGGAGCCTGAACTTGTGCTCTGTCTTATGGAGAAAGATGCATAAATGAAAGTTCACTGAAAGCCTGGAATCTTATTTTTCTTAACTGTCATACATCTAACACTTGATTGCCTTGGTTTCTCTCAAAATTACTATTCCACCAAAGCAATTTAACAAACTTAAGGCCAGGAAGTGCTATTAGGCTACCGATGGAACACTGCATTCCTTATCTGGAAGGTTCCAAAGGTAAAACCGTGGTCTTAGTCAGTAAAGTGAGAATCTTCACGTGGTGCTCAGTCTGCATCCAAAAAAAATTTCCTGAGAATACCATTTGACAGAGGCACTGAGGAAGCAGGGGTTTTAGCTGGAATATCTCAGCCAAGTTGCATGGACATGAGGTGTGTGTCATCGGTTGGAAAGGCGGGCTCATAAAAGATGACAGCAGCACGTGAGTAGAAGGTGTTGGCAAATGAGGTCCCACAGGTACCACTGCAGAACTTTCTTAGAACAATTTAGGTAACATTAATGAATAATTATTGTAACTGAAAAACTAAAGAAATGTTTTTCCTCATCCATCTTATGGAGAAATCAGAAAATAATGTTAACTTCCATTTGCCAGTTCAGTTCATAAATAGCATTCCCCGTTATATATTAAGTATGTTTAGTTGCAACAAATGAGAACAGCCACCATTCTGCTCAAAATACTCAGAAACTTGCAAAAATACAGAGAGGATTTTTCAACTTTTTTCCCTCAACTTTTTAATCATTCATCAAAAAAGAGAAATGGATTTGCCTTGGCTGGTAAGAGGTATAGAAGAGAAAGCTTCAGCAATGCAACCCCAACCTGTTTGTGGAGTGGAGTGATAGATTCACAATGAAATCCCTAAATATTCAGCCATCGTGATACTATGATGAACACTCTCTAAATGCTGGGGCTACAAGGAAAAGGTACTGTCTGTAAAATGAAATGGAAGAAGACTGACCAGGCAGCAGGAAGTTCTGGCTGGACAGTGTCCATTGGTAGAACCGCTGTGGGGGAGCTGCAGTTTATTTCTGTTCAAAAATCACAATACAGATCACTGGTAGCAGAAGAATGTTGATTTTTCAACAATGCAATTTGTCAGAGTTGGTGACACACCAGTATGTGTACAGGTGTCTGCTGCAGGGAGCACACAATGCAATGGGTATTTATCTCTTTTTTTCCCTTTTCCCCTCTTCCCAACAAGATCTGCTCCCAAACACCAAGGAGCTAAATGTCATTTTCCACAGTCTGCCAGATCATGACAGAGCTGTATGAATCAGGGCCAAGTGTCCAAAGGTTTGGAGGAGATGAAGTAATGGAAGGATGCATGGAGTTGGGGACACACAGCATGCCTTTCCGCAGAAATTCAATGACTAAGGTTTTTCTACTGATGATTTGGAGAAATATTTTTACTAATTAAACTCTATTTTTAAAAATATATTAAGCCCTGAAGAAGGAGCACTCTTGTGATACCAGAGTGCCTTGCTATTAACTTCAGCAGGAGCAAAACCTTTTTTGTTTGCTCCTCAATGCAAAGCCACTAATCAGAACTGCTAATCACATTTTGCCTAAAAGGTCTGCATGAGTTAATCACTCTAAAGTTGTCATTCATTTTAAGAGATGAGCTGCTAACTAGAATGCAGGAGTATGATAAATTAGCTAATTTTTTTATTTATTGCTAGTTCTGCAATTAATACAAGGTTAATTCTTTCAAAAACTATTAAGCCCAGAGCAGCTGAATGGTTAGGAAGAAACAGGGAGTGATCATTAATATTGATTTATCACACAACAAATGATCTCCAGGGGGTTTAACATTTGACTCTATTTCATTAGCTCATTTTATTAGCCATCTCAAGACAGGTTTGTATTCGGCTAAGTTTGAAATGGCTGATAATTTCAAAATCAGAGCAGGCAGGTGAAATCACAAACTACAGAATTGTCTGAGACATCTTAGGACTGTCGGCTGAATACACCAGTGGAAAATCCAATGCTAATTAAATAAAAACACTGCTTCATAACCAAGGAGAATATGAACAGAAGTAGGTCAATAATGAGAAGACAGATACATAAAGTGAACCAGTCTGAGAAAGGCCTTGGGGGACAGACTGCAAACATTCAAACTAAACATAAGGCAAAAATTGTTTGTGGCATATAAAGAAAGAAAAAGGAGACTTCACCTAAAGCTAAGTAGTTTGGTTTTCATAACTTGGAACAGAGAGCTGTACACAGTTGATTTCCTTACTAGTCTGTCCCCTGCATTGCCAACATCTCCCACTGTTGTTTATACAGACAGAAAATACAAACTGAGGACAGAAGGACAGACAGTGTGACAGCAAGGGCTGGACCTGCCTGGGGCCTCTCAAAAGAGGTGCTTTGTTTCCAGGTAGACACAGAGTCCAGGTTCCCAGGGCCGAAGTCTGCCTCTTGGGGATGTGTGGTGGCTCATTGCAAAGCAGCATTTTACACAGAAGTAGAAAGAAGGTGAATTATTACATAAACCACCATCGCCCTGCACAAGGAGCTGGTGACACAAACAGTGAGAGGTGGCCATCCCCTTGTGGGTTACTGAGCCATTCACAGGCCAATCCCAATTTTCTCTACACCTTTTCATTTAGTAACTTCACTCACAGGCTCTTTTGCAGGAGGGATGTTTTGTTCTGGAAACCACATTCTGCTATTTTGTATTCAGGTCTTGTGGTCTGTGCTCTTTAGGAACACTGGGATTTTACTCTGCACCTCTCTGAAGGACACACATTCTCTCATTTCTATTTCAACAGGGCCTTAGATGCTTTCCACAGCAGAACTTCAGAGGACAACTTGGCAGGCTTTTATAGAAACACCATCCTTGCCCAAAATAACTAAATATTGAAAAAAAAAGAAACATTTAGCTGCTATTTACTATACTATTAATGTGGCTCAGATTCTTCTACAAGATCTAAATGTTATATACAAGATAAAATGTTGCACATAAAAAATATCTACAGTAACTGCAAACTTGTGTGTAGCTGAAATGAAGCCTTTGATCTTTGCTGGAACCATCCTTGATTCATTTTGCATCTCCAAGTGCTATAAACCTCATTCTCCCCCAAAAGTCCAGGATGAGTCATAATCAAAATCCAATATTTTTTAATGTTATACTTGGGGAGCTACTAAAATATATAATTTTGAAATAGATCAATTTGATTTCATGTTATTCCTACTCAAACTTCTGTTCCCCAGCAGTTTGGTGTAACTATTACTAAACACCTTTGCTAACAAACAGTTCTCTCAACACAAGTTCTCTCCACAAGAATACAAGAAGAAAATAAATAAGACCTCTTAAAAAAAGCATTTGAAAATAATGACTTGCGCAAACATTTAATTTCCATTACTCTTTTCTCTGTGAGAATATTTCAAGACAGCACTGCCGTTGCACAGATTTAGGATGCCCTCTTGGAAAATCAGGAAAAGTCCAATAAATTGAAAAATTAATGGAACAGAGACCCACACCCAGCTTACTCTTGTAAGAGTTTTTTGGACAGAATTTCCTCACTGACATCTGTTTTGGTGTCATCTGATCTCACTCCTTGCATAATAAAAAACAATTTAAAAACTGAAAATATTATCCTACAGTCTGCACTGTGGGAATTTTAGGACTATATACAGAACAGCATGGTTTTGTTGTCTTCTTTTGTTTTCTGGTTATGAAACACTTTTTCCATTTCAGGTTTTTAAAAAGTAGCATATAAAAAGAAACAATTTAAAAATCAGTCATGTATACAGAGCTCAAGATCTCAGAAGCATGGCATTGTTATGCACAGTTCTGGTTTTTATATAGCAACTAGTTGTTTAAGAACTAAGAATAGAAGCAAAACAAAAATTAAAAATTATCTCTGCTGGGTACTCTCTGAAATCCACCCAGAATAATTTTTTAGTTCTCACATAGTTTAGCATTTAGTTCTTCATCCCTCCTTGTCCCCCTTGTCCCCTTTTTTGTTCACCAGCTAGAGTCTAAATGCTACTGTCAATGTTTAGATTTTAGACACTTTTGAGGGCAGAATTTATTGCCTTGCTTGGTTCTACAGCATCAGAACAGCAACACCACTGGACAGCAAAAACAGCCCCCCCGAAAAGTATTTTTATGGGTGGGATGTACTGCTTCAGACAACCCTACAGTGTGCTGAGAACGGGAAGGTGCAGCAAAACTTTAAAATATGTAGTAGCTCAAAACCAAAATTAATTACCCAGCCAAGCAATCATGTCTAATGGAATATTGCTCCTAATTGAGAACATGGAAGAGCAGAGACAGCATGAGCACAAGTAAACGCACAAGATAGAAGGGCAAAGCTGTCTGGATGGTTGTGCTCTCCTCATGACCTCAGACCATCGACTGGGCAGAGGCTTTCAGCATCTCTCAGGTGAGAGAGGACCTTTATCATCAAAAGAACTTCAGGAAGGTTTTTAGTCATGCAGTTTCTGGGGGCTGAAGATGGGATTGCTTTTGCTGTCACCATCTTCCACATGGGGATACGCAGCCTCAAGTAGGCAGGTTCTAGCAGTGCCTGGCAAACTGTTCTACACAGGCATCTCTGAGCAAAAGGTGCTTAGCTCTACTTGAAAAAGCCTTCTGCACCTCTTTGTCTGAGAAACTCTTCTCAGAGAGATCACTTCAGGAACTGCACTAGAGTTCCCATCTCATTAGAGAGAAGTTGCACTGCAGTGCCAGACGACAGAGGATGCACACACCCCCTGAGACAGCTACACACTAATAACCTGCCTCAGGTGATACAGTCCTGAAGGAAACAGCCATGCTTGTTAAATACCTTAATAGTCTCAGGAAGGTGAAAGTGTTGTCTTTTCTCCTTCAGTCGCCTCAATACGCTATCCATGGTTTCTTCCACTGAGGGAGCTGGTTCCATGCTCGTGGCCTCCTGTGTGCCAGCCTCATTAGAGGTCCCAGTGCTTTCACAACGGTCATTTCTTTGGGGTGCTGTGGAGGTGCAGTTTTGCTCTTCTGTAATTCTGAGTTTCAGTTCTGAAAGGCCAATTACATGGCAAGATTAGAAAAAATTAGAAATATTTGCAAAGCAGTTTCCTCTGATGCTACCAGAAAACAAACAAACAAACAAACAAACAACAAAACAAAACTTTCCTAATTTTTGCATACAATTTTCATCATACCACAGATATATAGGAAAGTAATTCTGCTTCACTTTAACATGTAAATCTTTTACCTGGTTAAAGGGAAATCCAATGGTCAAGTGATGAGATGTGTCCATGACAATGAAATTTACAGCACATGTGTAATTCTCTTTTTCCTCCAAGGCCATCTTTGACACAAAAGGTGAGGACTGAAGAGGCACTGAGTTATGGAGTGGGGTCTGGGTAGGAATTAGTGCTGAATTTCAGTGGGAGTGAGGTTAAGAAAGGGGCTTAAAAGGAAAAACAGTGAGAAAATATTTATGGGAGGTTAGGTGTGGGGGGAATATGAAGGCAGAGCTCTCTCATTCCTCTCCTTCTCCTCGCTAAGCCTGTGTACTCTCTGGATAAGTAAGAACATGCCTGTGCCTGGTGTGGGCATTGCTGTCCAAGGATGCATCTTTCACAGACACCTTCCCAAGCCAGAGCAGTGTCTCTGCAGCATCTGCTCCCCTCTCACCCGAGCTGGGCTTCTCTGCCCTCCTGTGCTGCTGCACAAGGGAGGAGGAGAATGAGAAGGGCTGTGGGGGCCAAGCTGTGCCACAGAGCCCTCCATGCCAGGCTGCTGGAGTACCCAGGTCTGGATAACCAACATTGCTCTCCAGTGCAATTTAAACCATCCACCTCCCTTCCAGAGACTGCACTGCCCTAAGCCAGGCTCAGGTGGAGAAACAGCCACTTCCCTTGCCAGAAGAGCATCTGAGCAACCCAGAAGACAGACAGCTTCCCAGTCAGCAACCTGCCTGGATGTGATAAAGTGTGTGAGTATATTAGCTTGACACCAAGCCAAAGACCCTGGAGCTCCAGAGACCTGCACAGAGCAACGAGGAAATTGAATTGCAATCTGAATTATCTCCTGTAAAATCAGACTTTGTTCATAGCACACATCTGGCTGGTGCAGCACCTTGGGCAAGGCAGGAGATTGATGGCTCCACATGTGTTAAATTTGTTGAAATCCATGCAGAAGCAGTAATAAAATTTTTTAGCTGTGACAAGTCTGAGGATATAGGCCAGCTTGGCAGGGAAAATCAGTATTTTTTAGTACACCCACAGAGTTAGAAATGATGGACAAGCCTTATGAACTTGGAGAAGGACCTAAGAAGCACCTGAGTGTTTTCCATTTCAGTTGTACTTGTCATGTTAATCTCATGAATCTCACTTCACTTAAAAGCAGTGCCATTATTCAGGATAATAAAATCAAGGATTGTCACAGGATTAAGCATTTTAGGTGTGAAGGTGAGGCTGATCTATGAACACTAGACCTCTGGCTAGGAGAAGCAATGGTTGAGTCAGAAAGATTATTTTCAGAAAGTTAACTATGTAGATCAGCCATTTCTTCTCACTTGTATTTCCTGGATTTGTAACACAAAGTTCAAGGAAAAACAACAACAACAAAAATAATAATGATGATGATGAAATCTTACAGGGATCAAGGGAGAATTTTCCAGAAGAAATTTACTGAAAGATGGGTTTCTAATTCTTTACTTACCACAATCACAGCCTCTATATCTACATTATTAACTACATCCAGAACAGAGATGAAATATAGTACTACAATTTATCTAGTAGTGAGAATCCATTTATAACAGGGGAAAAAAAAGATTTAGATAAATTATAAATAGCCTTAAAAAAAAATCAATCTGTCTTGGCTACATTCTCCCTGAGGGAAAGCATGTGATACACCCCTAGACGTTAATGGAGTGGTTCGCAGACAGTCAAGGGCAAAACCTGACCCTCAAGACCAAATCTAATACCAAGGAAAGATCTGTTCTTATGATCAAAATAAATAAAATCTTTAGAGATGAATATCCTCAGTCATAAAGAAACAGTTGCACCTACATTTGTGCCATTACAAGGAAAGTTTTAACTTCTCTATTTCAGGCACTCATGAAAATATTCAAAATAGCATTGCCTTTTGCATGAATGTTTATAGTGATAAGGGAGAGACGGTGTCTTTTTCCCCTTCCCCTTTCTAGCCTTGCTATGAAGGTTGAACTGGCTTACTTTAATCCCTGCTTTCAGGAATCAAGGCAAGTCATATCCCCTAATATCTCTGTTGCCTTTGAAAGCCTTATTGGCATGCACTGTGAAAAATAAGCAGAGCAGTGATGTTAGACAACTGACTCTAAAATATTCCAGGTACATTCCTACTTCCAAAAGCTTCAGCAATAAAGGGAAAGTGACGTTCTATTATTATGTACCTTTGAGCTGCTTCCGACCTTTGGCCAAAGCATTCATCCATTTCAGAACTTCAGGATTGGAAGTCTTGTCACCATGGGAAGGCTGAATGCAAAGACAAATGTAAAGAATGTAAAGAAACAGAAGGAATTGAGAGTTAAGTGATCAAACAGACAAAACCCTTTGTGCTCCAAAATGCCCGTAGTTCCCACTGCATGGTGTCACGGGGCCATGCAGAGCACTTGGCTTGATCGTGGCATTAATTTGTCACGACTTATCTGTGCCCCATTGTGGCACAGTGCTACATGGATCTGGGTGTTTTGTCTCTGATCCTAAAAAAGACCCAACAACATCTAAGTCTCTGACTAATCGGGTAAATAACCTCAGTGACTTCAAAAGGATTGATCAAATACCCAATTTTAGTCAAGTTCCCAAGTGATTTCCAGGATGGTAACTGAAGCTCTCTGTCCCTTGCAGGGATAAGCCCTTGCTTTAAGACAGGGATTCTGCTGGGAAACAGCACTTAAAAAATTTCCACTGACCTGCTTAAATAATCAAATGAAAAAGTCCTGTGCTAGAGTCATCTCAAAAGTAGCAAACGACTAAATCTATATCAGTTCTTTCTTTGCATTTAGAAATTGTCTCCAAGTTTAAATCAATTTACACTGGATCTTCAAAACTCAAGATATTTAAAATGGCATAACAGTTTTGCAAAATTAAGCCTCTAAAATATTTTTTTTCCTGGTCACAGTGTGAGGATTATGTATAAAATTTTTCTCCTGGGAGCATATGATGACCACTGGGCCATACAATTCACAAGTTTAAGTTTTCAGTCATCAATGGGATTACAAGGTAATATGTAATTAATTTTAATATGGTCAGAAAATATCACAAACTTCCCTATTTCATATTGTACACATTCCTTGATATGTTTAAGCTGCACAATTCACATTACACAAACCAGCTCGATATGAACAATCCTGCACAGAGGGCACAGCGCTCACCACTGACCTCAAACAACCTCCCATAAGTTTTATTTCTCTTAATTTCTGCCATCAGCTTCTGTTGAGCCCCACACTTTGGAGGTTTACAGGAGTCTGCCTGAAAGAAGGAATCTGCACAGAGGAGCAACAGTTTCCAAGCAAATGAGTTCTACAAAGTGAATAAGTAGCTTTTCATCTTTTTTTTTTTCATTTTTTCATTTTTTGCATCATTTTGCATTTTTGCATCATCAGCTACATTTCACTGCTTCACACTTCTCAAAGATGGATATTTTGCAACAAAGGTAATCCAAAGAAAATGTAAATTAGAGTCTCAGAACTACTGCTTACACTGGAAGATGCTAAAAAGATATTCCCTCATTGAAATTTTTCCCATTTCATTTTACTAAAAATACCCTTTCTTGTATTGTTTTGCATAAGTTTAAATACACTGGGATCCTTGCCTCCCTCTTTTTTTCAATTATTATCTTACCAGGTATTTTTTTTCTTGCTCAAACTTTTCTTCATACTTCCTAATTTTTCTCTTGAGGCTCTGCAAATGCTTGGTAAGTTGTGTTACTGTCTGTGGTTCTTTGCAGTCTTCACAGTTACATCTGGAAGAACTTCTTGGCCTGCAAAAGCAAAAATAATAGTTGCTGGATCTAAGAACTGGCTATAATGGCCCTTGCCTTTTTTCAGGCACACTTTAACCCTTTCTTAGCACTTCAGAATTCACAGCTAGGTTGTTTCACAAGATAGAGACAGCTTAGTTTTACAAAGTAAGCATAAAATAATTGCTTTTGCTTGAAGGTACCCCTAGGGTATAATAATGGGTTCACTGTCTGTCTTTCATTCTCTCTTTTTATAATTAATTGTGGGATTTCTGAATATTTTGGAAAAAAAGTTAATCTAGTAAGTCAAACCCTGATCCATTATTTACATTTAACACCCATATCTTAATTCACAAATCTTCCAGCTATAACAGGAGAATGTAATGACATGATTTGCAAAACTAAGTGCAGGGAGTTTTTCATTGCTGGGAATAATCATTATCATTCTGAAGGCAGTTTAGTTTTTAATTATTTACAGTTGCAAATCAACAGATCTGATTATTATCCATATGCAGATGAAGCTATGTATATGAGCTTTTAAGAAAGTTTGATTTCTGTCTGTAACTCACAGCTTGGTTTCTGGAAATCATATATATGAATAGTTCATATGCTGTTTGACACTCACATCCAGTGAATGGCTCAAACTGTAGTTCAGTTACAGCTGAAATTTTTAGTATTATGCCACTTTGTCTTATCACACTGATTACTAACTGACATTTAAAACTGTCCTTGCTAACTGTAGTTAACAAAGATTTCAAACAATGTCCTCTGTTATGACTGAGGGAACACTAGTTCCTATTTATGGTACTGCAAATTATCCATGTCAAAATACGCCACAATATGAAAAATTTCCTGTTTATGACATGACAGTGACTAAAAAAAACCCATGAAGAGTCAAAGGCTGTGGATTGCAGAAAAAGTTTTAAAGACACATAAGAATTAAAATACATTTTCTTACACCATGAAAGGCTGAGCACTTGGTGGAGAAGGGGCAGACTCTGTGTCTAGATTAAATCTCTGGCTTTGGCTAAAGATAGAGCAGCGTGGTGACAAAAGAGGATTGTCTCCATCTGTAATGTGATACAGCAGTCGACTGGTCCCTAGGGAGTGATGCTCCTGTGGGCTGCTCTCCATGTCGCTCTGCCAGACTCTGTGGGCTGGCACAGGCTCTGGAAAGAAAGTACAAATCAGTGTGGACTGGGGGTCACTCACAAGGTACTGAGCTACCAAGGTGAATGCAAATCTTTCCTTGCAGAAGGGCTCAAAGTAAACAGCAAACAGTTCAGCAAAGTGTCACATGCAGGATGAACACGGGACTGAGGATGACTGAAGAGAAGTACAGTCACTGGCTTAACCTAAATCATTTCTGAGTTCCACAGGAGAAGCTAGATGGGTGTGTTTATAAATAATGAAGTATAATATAAAGATGGAGAGTTTCCCAGAATGGCAGCACTACCTGTATTTTCATAGAACTGTTTGCTTTTGAGAGCCACATTTCTGGAGTAGATGACGAGTGTGCAAAGTAAGATTAACTTTGTGATTTATCATTTACTGCCTTGGCAAAGAGAAAGGAAGATCAAAAATATAATGTGCCCTGATGCCGAGAACCTCCAGGGCTGCTTGCAGATTTTTGTGAAGGTTTGAAGGAACATACCTATGGGTCTGAAGAACATAGGATATGAAAATAGCAACCACCACCAGTAATATTCCAGTTAGTTATTCAAGGTAAGTGGGCAGTGACTGCTGCCTGGAGGAGTCATGCTTGTGATACCATGTTAACAGTGTCTTGGACTGTGAATGGAAACCTCACCCCAGGTGCCTCAAAAGGTAAAATTGTTTTATAGTGGTGATCAAGAAAAAAGTAGGAATTGGTGAACTTCATCTCACTGGTTCTGTTTATGGGTGACATGAAAACTAATGGGCACATTACAGTGCCTACCTCCAGGGAATATCCAGAGTTCATCTTCCCTTTGCTGTACATGAGTACATTAAAGGGAATAATCATTGTATCTTATTCCTCACCCTCAGTAGTTGTGGGTGAGGATGATGTAGCCTAATCCACATTTTTGCTATCAGATGATTGCAATTTAAAGCAGATTATACTTTTTAGGGAGAAATTCCACATTCATAAAAGTCCTTGCCCAAAATTCTCTGCGTTTTGCTTTGTTAAAGCAAAGATTATGCTCTGTCTCAGGTCCCCCTACAGCAATTTCCACAGCACATAATATTTTACACCAGGTATGTTATTTTTTTTTCTAAACCCATTTATATATACAGTTTTTTAATTCATATATTTTAATTCATATATTTAGTTCATTTATTTTGGATTTCCAGGCAGCATGCATGTGATTTCTGATCAGTGTTACATTTTCCATATGGCTTGCATTCTAATACATTTCACAGAATCTTTTTATTCAATTAAAGTCTAAAACTGCACAGGAAAACAACTGTACATGGATTTACTCACAGAAGAACTGGCAGGTTTAGGTAAGTTCTTTCACCTTCACTTTCTTTTGATTTTCTCCTTTGCACATGGGACATGACATTCCTATGCTGAGTGGGTATTTCTGTCAGGATTTTAATGGAATCTTTGCATTACATTTTATTTGCCCTCTGCCCAAGAGATACCAAAGCTGCAAATCCCTATTGCTGCACTGGGATAGTGGGGGAAAAAACAGCTCTGAGTGGCAGCCTTCACAAAAAAACAACTATTAAGTTAACATATAGTAGTTACAATGGCCTAAAATATCATTGTACTGGGCACTATCCACCCGTTTTTGCTTTACAGACAACAAAAAATCCTACTGTATAATCACAGTTTAGTCTGTCATGCAAAAGTTGCATGTGACCTTTGTATCTATAAACTCATCTACTCTTGGCAGCATCATCAATAATTATGTTAAGCATTTTCATGATGAGACAATGTGGCTGATTTTTAATTCCAACCTTGCACCTTTCCTCTAAATACCTCATACTATGAAGGTCAAATTCCACTCTCCAAGGTACCAGAGCAACACCCAAGTCTCCTAAATCATGTGTGAGATTCAAATCCTCCCACAGAGATCCAGAAAGGCATCTGGGAGAAGCAAGGGTAGAGAACTGTACAAGCCATGGGAAATCAGGTACTGACAGCACACAGTGATAATGGCTGGAATAATTGCTGTTCTGCAAACAAAAGTGTTATCTCTTTTTGGCAAGTACTGTCTCCTTACCCTGTAAGATTTTTTTAAAAATTATAGTTTTGGTTGGGTTTTGGTCTGCTGTTGTTGCTGGGGCTTTTTTACTCTGAAGACTATCAATGAGAAGAACCTGGCTTCCTTTCTTTAATTTCACCATCTTTGAACTTCAAGAAATATACAATCACTGTGAAGTGGGTTGACTAAGAATAGTTTCACAGATTTCTCATGCTCTGTTATTATTAGGAATAAATTCCTTTATAGTCATATTAAGTAGCAATCCCCTCGCTGTGAAAGGAAAATGATGTGATAAAAAGATCAGCTGGTCTGTGTATGACAGGTGCAGGAAACAACTTTCCAACATTTAAACTCTGATTTCCTGTGGACCTAGAACTACCCCTCTTGCAGAAGACTGTACTGCTGATAAACCATGGGGTCACAGACACTTGCTCCTTTTCACATTTACAACCAGGCAATTTTCCTGGGGCCAACCCAGTCTCAGAAGTGGAAGAAAAGCACACATTCAAGACTGAACACTCCTTGAAGATAAATGCAAAGGACAGGTAGTGGCTGGTGCAGCGCCAGCGTGAAAACACACAAAACTCAAGGAGGTTTTTTTATTCAGAAAAGGAGACAACCTGCATGCCAGATGAATTTGGGAATATTTCCCAAAGGCCAGGGCACTTCCATTTCCTTGGCACCAGGGCTGTGCACACTAGTGCAACTTTGGTATGGCCCAAGAAGGGCTTTAGTTCCAACCCTACTACAGGTGCATTAAATTACTGCCTCTGTTCATAAGTGGTCAGCAAATAATTCAAACTGATTCATTCACATGGCCTGATTACTGTCATAGTGAAACACCTCAGTGATGACAAGTTCTAACCAACCACATTTTTAATTAAAGCTTAAGGTCATCATCCTGGTTCCAGTTCTGCTTAGGTCCTAAACAAACAAGACTCTAAGCATTATCCTGAGAGTAGCCCATGAACTGACCATGTGTTCATGTGTCTGGTCTAATTTTAGCCTCTATTTTTGACAAAACTGAGAATTAAAGCCACCTCTACCCAAGCCAGTAAGTTGCCCCTTGGCATCTACTCCATCTCATCTGCTGGACAGGACTTAAAGCCAGCTTTGCTGTCTTATGCAATCTGTTCATAAGATGGACTTCATATGGCAATAAGTCCTATGGTACAACTCTGTATTTATGCCTGTGATATTCTCCAAATAAAACAATAATACACTGAAATCTCTTGTATAGAAAAAATAATATGCATCTGTAATGCGTTCAGCCCTCAACGTGTAATGTCTGTGAATGCTGCTATCAGGATTTTTAATTTCAAGGCCATTTAGAACTTCTTGTAGTTAGGTTCAGCTGCTCACTGCTCAAGTCATATATTTGATGTGTACTAATATCCAAAAGCTATAGAAATTACACCCTGCTCTTCTCTGTTTTCCCCTTTAAGAAACTAGCTTAGTAACCCCCAGAAATTCTTTATGGTCTTACTTTGGCAGCTCCAATTCTCTTTTTACATATTCAGAAGTAAACTGGAAATTGCTGACTTTGGTCACCTGTTGCTGTTCATCCCCTTAAAATTTGCATCCTGGAATACCCTGTCATTTTACTAGACTGTTCTCTTTTCATTCACCATACATATGATGCATACCTTTCTAATTTTTGTTGACTGGGATGCAAATGAAAGGATTGTGTTTATTTTGCCTGATTCATTGAGGAAAAGCTAATAACTAGAGATGTAGCATAGATGGCACATTCTCTGAAAACTCTGCCTAGGCTGGTACAAATCTCTGGATTCCATCCAAGTTTGAGCTGAAATAGCCAATAGTCCCATGTGACAACTGCACCTTAACTCAGGGCATCAGAAGTTCTCAGTAGTAATTTAAAAGGCAGAATTAGGGCCAGCTCTGCCTGTGCAAAATGGCAAGTTGCTAAAAATACCACAAACCACAAAGCAGGTTAGCAGGAATGACTGCATGTTAAAACCCATTAAATAGGGAAGCTTTAACTAAAGCAAGAGTTGGAACTGCTGGAGTGACAGAGCATGCTCTGAACTGTGCAAGAGAAATGCTACATCATGCAATATTTCCCCAAGTAGCTGCATATGGGCAAATGGGAGCAGAGAGGGTACTGGAAGTAGAAAATCTAATCAAAACAGCAAAAATAAGTACAGGAAACAATTATGGACCATCTAACAATGAACTATGAAGCTACCAGAACAAAATAATGCGGTAAACTACTGGAAAGGGAGGAAAACCCCACCCTGTCACAAAGGAAAGGGGTCACTGCAGATTTCGGAGGAGCTGCAAAATGCCTCTGTGCAGCACACATGAGACCTGTCTCTGCCTCAGATGCACGCCCAGGCTGGCACCAGCCCAAGTTCCATACCCGTATCCAAGAGCTATTAAAGTATTTGCCTTGCTGGGCTAAAGCATTCCTGGTTTGTTTGTTTTTTTTTTTAGCTAAAACCCAGGACATTTAGCATTTTCACATTCCTTCATTTTTATAATAATTTGACTTCTGCATACCTTTTTCCTTAATTTTGCAATGCAAACCTCCAACTTTAGAATTTCTTAAGCAGAACACTATCACTTTTTTTTTTTAGGTAAATAACGTTATTTTCTGCTGAAAATTCTTGAGCAAACAGCTTCTAAAGTAAGTTCTTGTGAACCCAGATTTATTCGCATATGAAACATCAACTGCAAAGGGATTTACCTACCTGCCTTAATTTGAACCACGCATGGTGCACAGTTTAGGTATTTGTGTATTCATGTCACTAGTCTGTGAGATGCATTAGTCATACTCCTTTGACCTATTTTTCACAAACAGTGACTCCTCTTCTGCTGAGCATCACGACTCTGCCAAGCCCTGGGACTGCAAGCTATGAATTGACAAAAATAGTGCCGAGCCTTGGGGCTGCTTATTTCCATATTGAGGAAAGAGGGAAAGATAACACACCACAGTTTGCCCATATGTGTAATAATACGGGTTCATGAATGATTAAAATCCACATGCTGTACAACTCACCTTCGCTATCTCTCTGCTGATGCATTAAATTAAAATCAATAATAGGAGAAATGAAGTGATATTGCTCTGACAAAAAGAATGACAAAAATAGAATTACATGATATGGCAGGTGATCTCACACAATACAGACATAGGAAGTAAAGAGCGTAAATTTACTTGGAAAAAAATAGCAGATTAAAACTGAAAATAAAAGAGTCAGAATTCTTAAAACCTATCTGAAAAGCAAGACTCTCCCTCAGAAAACCAAAGGGTTACAGCCATTAATTTCTGTCCTTTTGAGAGGTATCACCCCCTTTTTACATTACACGGCATTTGCGTCAGGAAATGGTGCTTTGCATTAGCTCTGCACCGTTTCCCGGGAGGACTGACTGCAAACCTGATTTTAAACTGCAAGTCACAAGGCTCTTTTCTAATTGCAAATGAGAACACAGCCCGGCGGGACCGCTTACCTCCACCGCCGGCCCCATCAGCCTGCCCGCCGGGCTGCGCCGATGGAGGGGCCGCGTCCCTGGGCGCCGGCAGCGGGGGGGTTTCCTCCTGGCTTGGCAGGAACGCGGAGCACAGCTCGCTTTCCAGGGCTTGCAGCTTCAACAAAGAATTCTGCAGACAAAAGCAGAACATTGGGAATGGATGGAGAACAACAGGAATCGGCAACAGCGCTTCAACTCCCGGAGCCCATGAGCGGTGCCTGCGAAGGGGTGCTCCACCGGGAGGACGGGCAAGGGAACAAACGTGCACTGGTCCACGAGTTTCTTGACTCCTGGTTATTTAAGTCCCAATTTACATGGATTATTCATGACACGTGGGAAAGATGACTTCGTCAGCAAAAGACGATTTATTCTAGGGAGCCGAACTGAGGTGGTGTCCCTTTTCTTGGGCTTGGAGCAATACATTAGGGAAGTATTTCATTCATTGGCCTGACATCACGATCTGATGACATTATGTCCCTCCCCATTTACCATTCATAAAACCCCAAATCTCCCTCTCCAGCTTGTGAGTGCAGTACAGAGCAGGGAACAAAGAGTTACTGAGAACACGCTCCCTCGTGGGATCCTTGGAAGAGTATTTTTTAATTGGCTTTTTTAGAGGTACTTCACTATGTAGACATGGCTTTTGTCTAGGTGCTGCTGATTCTACAGAGCAATTGGGTCATTTGCCATCCACTGCAAAGGTAAAATCAACACACCATTGTCACCTGCTGCAGACAAATCAACGAGGACAAGGCTTGTTATCTGTCACAGCACTTCCAGGTACTGTGTCACGCTTGGTCCGTTTCTCACTTTAATGCTGCATGCAGTATTAAACTGTACAACCTGACACAAGCATCTTGCTGTGATGTAAATGCCGTGAAAGCCCTAATCACCATCTGACTGGGCAAAATGAGTCACTACCCCCACGCATTCAGATCCTCTATCTCAAGGGAAATACAGCTTACAACGTCATAAAACACAATCACACAAGGCTGTCTTGATAATTAAGCAGCTGCCACACACAGAATATACGTATAACATTAAGTCACCCAAGTGGTACATGTTTATGAAGAGCATTTTCTTAGGAAAATAATAAGAGTTGCAACAGAAAGAAAAATCCCCAAGTTTATGCCCTAAGAAGCGCTTTTCCCCACTCTGAAACCAAAGTACTGATTCATTTAGTGAAAAATGAATTTGTTTATCAGCCTGATTTCCTTTGTGTAACAATGTCACCTATGTAGTCAGTAGTTTAATATGTCTTTGCATTACCTTTATTGTAAGGCAGCCCTTTTATAAACCCAAGGATGACAGTGGCTTTAGGTTAAAAAAACTCCCACCAAACAAGCTTGCCTGAAAACAGCAGGGAAGACTTTCAGCCTTGATCCTTTCATTTCTTTTACAGAATTCAAGAAAATTATGGAAACCTTCTCACCCCCAACAGCTTTCAAATGGCAGTGAATTTCCTTACCAAGGGAAGGGTGCTGACTTGAACCATACCCACGGCACTGTTTTGGGAAGGGTTTTCATGACATGACAGGTCTCGTTTTCCGCTGTCTCTCATCCCAGATAAACCCAAACAAAGTAGCTGTGGAATTGTCAGAGCAGATGGGAAGCATTTTACAGTCATTAATGTCATCTAGCAAAAGATGACTATACCAGTTAAAAACCAGTGAGGACTCTGCTCCGAGCCTGGACCTTGTAATGAGAACAGCTGATGAAAAGTAGGGAGAACACAGATGAACAAACCAGAAGAGCACACCAATTAGGAGAACATGAGTGAATGTCTGACAGAAGTACCTAACCTTCAGGGACTGTTACTCCAAGCATTTGACAAGAAAAATCCCCTATCAAGGAAATACATTCACTTTGCATCACTATTTCTTATGATACATTAATATTTATGGGAAGTTCAGTATAAAATCAGTCCCACAGACTACATTGTTAAACATTATACTTCAGCAATGCTTCTGCTGTAATTCACCACCTGGTTTATATTCAGTTGCTCTAAATGATATTTTTCACCCATCTGGGGAAGGTGGGTGGATGGCAAATTTCCAGTCACTGCCAAACACTAAAAAAATTCATATAATAATAATAATAGAAATAGCTTATATATTTTCATGAATGTGCCCTTGACAGGGATTTGATGTAGGGAGAAAAAGACTAAGTAGCTTTGATCGTTTTGATGTTGCCAGGGAGATGATGAATTTGGAGTGTGCCATCAACCCCACCTTACTCCTAAACCACAGCTGAGTCCTGTGGTGCTGCCACAGCACATCACCCATGAAAAGTCACCACATATTTATGGGAACACACATAAGGAGACATGGCTTTAAGCAAAGGCCAAGCACAAAGCTGCCCAGGGTGAACCAGGCAAAGTGGCTAAACATGTTAGAAGCCAAAACAAACAGCTAAAATACACAGATGGAAGAGTTATGCCTTGGTGAGTACCACCAACAATTTTAGTAAGCTCTTATATGAAGAACCAGTATAACAGAAGTAATTTAAGCTATGGCATTCTATATCTGCTAACGAACTCAGCTCAAACACTTCAGATCTGATGCTCATTCCAGCTGCCCTCTGGTGCCCAACACTAGTGCTTCTTATGCAGTAATTCCTGATCCATGATAATGCAAATGAAAGGACATATTAATATTTAAAATTGATCCTGAAATTTCTTTGGAAAAATAACCATATTGTTGCCTCTTAAGAAGAGTATCCTGAAAGTATTGAAAAAGAAGCAATTGTAAGTGTCTTGGACAAAGGCTTCTTATCTCTTCTTATGTCCTCTTAAAGCAGCTGACAGTTCAAAGATCTTGAGCTATGCCAATTCCACTGAAGAAAAAACAAGGTTCACTATTCCAAATAATGGAAAAATAAATACGTTCACAGGAAGCTGGAGGAAAACAGGGAGAGAGACAGTGTAGTGCTAATCACCTGTTTGGTATTTTTGATAATGCTTTAAGAAACCACAGACTGTGCTGGAGAAGGCACAGTACAAAAGGACTGCCATTTGCAGAGGAAGCTCAGCCTGTGGTAAAGGCACCATCTCTACAGACAAATAAGCCTGTACCCCGTACCCCACTGACCATCTCTCCTTCCAACCCATTACTATCAAAAACACAGAGTGGAGGCCTTAGGGCAAGGAATTACTGAGATGGCAGATAATCCCTTACAACTAGAGATAAGCACCACCCCTGTTAAATCCCTCTGGAGAATGGGACACTGAGAGAACAAATTCTCCCAATGCATCACCAAAATGCTATGGCAATGAGTGGCAGTGCCCTGAAACAGCCTATAAACTTTTTCTTGGTAGGTGCCATCAGTAACCCCCTCTCCCACTGGGACCTGGCAGGATCAGCACCATGGGACCAGGAGGCCATTCCTGGCCTTAGAAATAACTTCTGTCCCTGACAGAGCACTACTTTTTATCAGCATCCTTTGTTTCATCCTTGTGGACTTCCTAAGGTCTGGTAAATTTAAGAACTGAGGGAAGAGGGAAAGGGAACAGGACTGCCCCAGCCATGAACTCTGCCCAGTCTCAGTCAGGAGCCTGACAGAAGGGATGAGAGGCAAAGCCCAGACTTGGTTCCTTCTGCAAAAAATGATATCACCCTGACCCTCACAAAGTGTTTCTGGACATAAAGGATGCCTGCACCCTGCCCTTGGGCCTGCTCCTGCCCCTCCAGGACACGAAGGCAGCTATTCTATTATATCCAGTTTGTTGATGGATTTACTGGATTTATGAAATCAGCTGGGGCAGAGAAGGAGAATAATCCAAGCTTTCAGCATTTAATGGCCTTTGAAGAGATTCATATAGAAAAGAAACTGAGCAAATTTCAACCTGTTCAGCTTCTTCACTCTGAGGAAATTAATGCTTTTATATGTCACATTGGAATAGCTTTTTAATTCTGAGAGTTCAGGTTAAAATAAGATAGGCGTATTTTATGTGAACATAAATAAATCTCTGCAGTACCTGTTATGGCAATATTTGTGTCTTAAGGCATATGACATTTTCAATTCAGAACTTCCTTTATGGGGAACGAACAAGCAACAACAAGATAGAACAAGATATGCCCTGGGTCTGCATAATGCCACGGGTGAGCAGTGAAGAGAGACACCATTTTCTCTAATCCTAGAAGAGAATTTATTTTCTTATGATACATTTCCATGTGGGTTTGCAGGAGTTCTGATCTATAGATCTGATATATAAAACCTAAGATTTGGTAAAAGAAAACACGAAGTTGTAACCCTTGCTCATTCCTCATTGATTATTAATGATTTATTTTAATATCTTATATTTATTTTAATTATCTTTTCTAATAATCTGTTTTAATATCTTACACTGATTTATTTATTATAATATTTTCTCTTAACCTTAAAGTCATCCTTTGCAAGGATTTTATACGGAAGCTTTCAAGTGGAAGCTTTAGTGAATATTTGCAGTGGGGTTTCTCAAAAGAAATGATAATTTGTTACTTCCCCCAGGGCCTTAAGTGGCTGACAGAGGCTGAGTGCACTCCCTTAGACTGGTCACTGAGCAAGCCTCCCCTGTTAGCACTGGGATTTTCAACAGGGAGCTGCACAACAGTGACATAAATGCAAGGGAAATAATTCATTGCAGGGAGAAGATTAAGTCTGAATTCCTTTAAAAGGGCACATTGTGGTTTTCCCCTAATGAAAGTCAGGCATCTATTAATAGACACAGATGTTCCCTGGCTCGTTTGGAAAACAAAGCTGTCTTTTCCACGATTTAACAGGAATGGACTTCTCTTCACCACTACCCTACTCTCTTTTCCCGCTGCTTCTGTTGTTCTGTTGTCTCGTTTTGCACTAAAAATGTTTTCTGCTCCTTGTTTAGGTCCAGTATCATCTGCTGCCCCTGCAGTGTGTGGGTGCACTCTGTGCTCCTGTGCAGGTGCCCCAGGCTGTGGGAGATGCTTTACAAGGTTTCCCACTTTGCACAACTGCAAAGCTTGGTTTTACCCCCCACCCCCCCAATTGCTGATTGTTAGGACCTAGCCCAGGCTCATCCATCGTTTGATACATCACACAAACAGCTTTTCTGTGCTCCACTCACACTGTGCTCCTGGCACACTCCGTGTGAAAACAGCTTGTTTCAAGTGTCACAGGTGTTACTTTGGCTTTCCTTGCTTCCCCTCTTCAACTCTCCCTTCCTCCCATCTAACAACCAGAGCACCTTTTACACTACATTGTACTGTTCACAGTTTATTTATGCAGGCTCTAGCAACCTTGAGAACTCCTTATTTTTAAACAAAACATATTTAATAGATGAACACTTTTGAGCTGTAATATGAGGAAAAAATCAAATGTTCTTGAAAGATGGCATTTCACACAGTCAATATTGAGCATTTGATTCTTTCCTGAGCAAATAGAAAGCAGCAAGAAGTTGACTGAAAATATTTTTAAAATCTCTAGCTTCTGGCTTTTAAACTATTACGGCAGTCTCATATCATCTTTTTAAACTATTCTCCAATAACATGACTAGAAAGATTCACTAAAAAGCCAATCCAAGATTCTCAAGCAATTACATTATTCCAAGACCTTAAAATTAACAAAACCCAAACATCTATTTAAAATTTATAACATCATATTTCAACTTTTGGTTAAGCTTACCTCATTTAAGCTGTTACATTGATCGGTTGCTTCCTTTGGTGAAATGCTTGTGTTCTGATCTATTCTACAAAACAAAATAAGAACTTTCACTCAATAGATTACTTATCTGTGCTGCAAATATTTCAGACTTTTTATCATGTCTGTACATAAGTTACAAGTTAAGTTATTTTATTTAAAAATAAACAAACAAACAAAACCTTTCTGTGAAAGTTACATCTGTATTTTGTACCTCATTCAAAACAACTGTGATTTTACTGGAATCCTAACTAATATATTTAAATCGTGAATGAAGTCCTGCAAAACTATGACATTACAATGTGGGTTTATTTTGTCATGCAGAAGAAGTTCTACAGAGGCATGATCAGTTCAGTGTCTCAGTGAGCTAATAGGGTTAAAGCCAAGAAAAATCTCAGACATATGCTTAAATCCAAGCACAATTTGTCCCACATGCTTTAAATCAGAAACAAGAGCTTTCCTGTATCAGAGACATAAAGAATAACTCTTCCCATATTTAAATTTGATGGCATTTCAGGCTCCCAATCTTCAATTTTCTGCTTAAGCTCCCTTTTTAAAATTTCACAAAGACCCCAGTGCCTGGAAATCCTGTGAGAGAGACGTCCACATTTTCTAATGAGTGTCACTTTGCAGCCACCAGAGATGTTCATACCTTTGGTTTTCTTTCAGTATATTGCTGCTTCACCACATGGAAACAGGAGAGGAAGGTGCTGGACTGGCAAGGGGGAAATCTCTTCCATCTGACTGAGGCTGATAAGACAGCTGTGCCCCAGCCAGTCAGATGTGGGCCTGGCCTAAGGCTCCACACACCTACCAGCTTCAGGATTAGTTACCAATTCCTTCCACCAAGGAATGAAACTGAAGTCTAAAAAATACTTCTCAGAGAGAATAAGTGAGCAACCTGGGAAGCCTCATCCCACAGCTCTGTCCTTGCCCAAAGCAAGCTGAGGGTTTCCACACCTGACTTCAAAGCCTGACATGGGTGTATCCCAAGTTAACAACTCAGCTGAAGCAAGAAAACTGTAGCTGTGTCAGAGAATGAGATTTCTCGGTGCTGAAAAGGTGGCAAGGTTTGCTGGCCCCTGTGAGACTCACGCACAGACATGATCAAACCCAACACAAACCCAGATTCCTTTGGACAAAACAGGTCATATTTTTCCATGCTCAGAGTCATCCCAGCAAAACCAGATAGTTTTAAAAGTCTCTAGAGACCCCAAAGCCGGTACAGACAGATTCATAGATGTTTGTTGTAGTTCTTCGTGGATTTATGTGACATTTAAAGACTGAAATGCTGGATATGCCACTTTCCTTATCAAAACAGACACACTAGGTAGCTACACCAAGGTGAACAATTGCTTTCAAATAGGATCCAAGGTGTGCAGTTCACGTAGGAACAGAACTGAGCCATTTTGGGAAGGGTTCATGCAGCACTGGAATGGGAGGTCTCACAGCCCAGCCAGCCTGCACCTCCCTCAGGCACACAGGTACGGGATCAGATGTGAGTGATTTCTGACAGCACTTGAGCAGCAGGGTGCCCTGGCTGACTGCTGAACAAGCACCTAACTACACCCCTAATTTAGCTCTTCACATATATATTCTTTGTGCCATCTTGCCTGAAAGGAAATAGCAAATGTCTCCATAATGTGAAGGGAACAGAAGGAAAACAAAAGATTAATGCCTAACAACCAAACCCTGCTTTTAGCCAGTGGAGAGGACAGTAGGAGACAGCAGAAGGGAGTTAAAGAAAACTGAGAAAAACATGGGAACAGCAAAAGGACTAATTTAATAGGAAAGAGTGAAGTATTTGTAGTTTGCTTTAATAACATGTCAGGAGGGTACTGCAAGGTTACAAACAGCTGGAGAACTGATCCACTAATGAAGAAAAACTATTTAGAGTGATTTATTGAATTGAACTAGAGCTAGACGTTAAGGAAAGGATGAAAAGGACACATGTCAGATTTGAACACTTCTGGTATTGATTTGGATGGCTCCTTTCAAGGTGCATAACATAGCAAATGTGAAATCTCCTTAAAAAAGAAAAACAAAATAAATTTTTTAAAGAAACCAAACCCTAAATGCCAGCAGCAGTCCATACCAGCACTATATGAAGTTCTACATAATTCACAGCTGTATCACCCATGAGTCTTGCACTCTGGAGATTAAAATGTTTACAGCAGCCATGAAGTACCACCTGCATCTCATTCAGGTTGATGCTCTTGTCTGCTGGTTTGGGGGTGCATTTAGTCATGCATTTTACTGTTTCTTTTTCACTAAAAATACTGGAGTATGATGCTCTTGGTTTTGTATTCTTTGGATTCTGGAGGCACTGAAATCATTAAGGTGAGTGACCATTTTTGTGTGAAGAGCATTTACATGAACAGCATGTGCTGAGCTGATCTTACTCTATCCAGACACTTTTGGGGTATGCTTTTTCCTTTTCACCAAGATTAATTGCTCTGCTAGGCAAATGCAAGTTTTCTGACTGTCACCCGGCAGCACAGGGCTTACAATTTAATAACTATGGGTTGGATCTTACTCTCATTAAAAGTCAATCACAAAATATCCATTAACTTCAAAAGCAGCAGGAACAAGCCCTAATTTTCCATCTGTGCTGAGTACATTAAAATTATTTCAGGCCTTAGCTAAAATTTTGAATAATTGCAGGCACCCTTATTTTGTATAATTTATATCATGTAAAATAATGAAAATGGAATTCTCTCTGTGGCTCCTACTCAAATATGTGTTATATGGTCCTTTAAAAAACATGAAAGGCCTGGTCTCTCACCCTCCCTTATAGACTCTGGCTTTGGCAGAATTATCCTCCTCTCCATGACAAAGATGGCAAAGATGCAATGAGTAATATGTACATTTGAAGCTTGTGGACATAACAAGAAAAAAAAAATCTAAATACTAATTATCATAACAGAGCTCCTACCAGACTTCAAGGGGAAGATCAATTTGCATGAGCAGTGTGCTATTTGAAAAACAGACCAGAACGAGTGAATTTTTTGAATTATGCATGACATCACTTCTAAACTTGCATAAAATTCAAATAAAACCACACAATTTTAAAAGCTGGGCAAAATGTTTGAAGGTAATCTAAGCAAATTCATATCACAGTTCCTAGATGGAACCCAGAAAGGAGCATTGTATTCTGTAAATTGAAATTTACTCCAGCCCAGCTCTGGATCACAGCAGCCCCATTCTCAGCTGAGTTATGTGTTTGAGCATCACAGTGCCACACGTGCTCGGGGTCTTGGCACTGGTGATGCCAGGGTAAATCCTCCCAGCCAACCACACAGTATTCTGGGGGATGAAACTCCTTTTCCAGTTTCACTGTCAGTCTATCCTGGCCCAACACTCCTTCCCTGCCTCCAGTCTATGAATCAGTTCCACCCTCCCCACCGTTAGGGTGGCCCACAGGGGGAACAGCATCTCAGTACCCTGTCAGGGGACTGATTCAGCCTATCCAGAGGTCACATCACACGAGTTCACAGAAAGGCAGAACCCACAACCAGCACATCTCAGCACCAGGAAAACAAAAAAGGTCCTTTCTGAGACCTCCACAAATGGCAAAAAGCATTCTGAAATCCAAACACCTTCATACAGGGCTGCAGGTGGATGCTTCAAAAGCATGCCTTTGACTCCTTGGAAAGCAGAACTGCAGCAGGCTTTGGGGTGAACATAAAGAGAGAAAAATGAGAGGAAAAACACCATCAAGGGCCCAAGGCTACTCCCTGGGCAATCCCTGAATGATGGAATGAGCACTCAGACAGAGAGGCAGTGTAGCACTGCCTGTCTCATCAATCACAGCCCTTATGTAACACAGCCAGCACTTGTTTTTCTTACTATGAGAGCCTCTCATACCAGGAGCAGTTCTTACTTGGGCTACAGTAAGATCCTATTCTTTTCTTGCTCCTCTATCCCCTCCACCTCCCCCCTTTCTCTTTTTTTTTTCTTTAGTTGTACTGCAACCCAAAAGCTTGCTCAGAGAATTTTCCATGCCTTGGTACAAGAAGTCTCACTGAAATCAGAAACACCAGTATTTTAATATCAAGATGTCTGAAGAAACTGTTTTTAGGAAGTGGTCATTTATTTCCCAGCTTTCTCCCTGCTCACTTGGCTGCCTGTACAGGTGAGGGGATGCAGCCTCACAAGCTCTGCCTCACTCATGCAGGTCTGCCAGATGGCACAGGGACATCAGCACTTCTGCAGCTTCCCTGCTCCATCCCACTCATCCTTGAGTTGTAGCTGTTCAACAGAAAGCCTGGAAACCAAAGGAGTTCCCACCTGAAGGGCTCTCTCAAAAGTTACTTGCCTGGAAAACTTAAATACCAAAAGCCTTGCTAGAGCTTGGCCTCCCCTGGGGGATCAGAGGCTGCTGAACCACGGCAGCCCAGGGCTACTGGCATTTCCAGTTTTCCTGGAGAATAGCCATAAGTCTGACAACAACTGCCACCTTACAGCCTCTGAAGAAATTAGGGACCAACCCAGGGACCAGCTGAGTCCTGTTAAATGAAACCACTCCATTCCCATTTTGTTTGGGGAATGGGAAAGATGGGGAACTTTCAGGAATTTTTCTTGGCAGAAAACTTAACCCCAAGGTGTAGTTCCCACACTGAGATGGAATGCAGCCTTCTCTGAAGCACTGACCTTCCCACTGCCTAAGAGTGCCTTATTTCAGCCTCCTCCCCGTGTAACAGGCAGCTGAAGGAAACACCACCCCCTGTTCAGGTAAGTGCACACAGCTTGCAATCCACACCAGGTTTGCTGATTGCCTTTGAGAAGGCAATTGGCAGGAGCAGCTTTTTGTAATCATATGTATTGTTCCATACTGGCTTTCCTACTCTCTGCTAAAAAAAGGCAATTCTCTTTTATTTTTTCCCAGGACCTGCATATAACTTTTATCTATCGAAGATGCAAATTGTGTTACAATCTTATCCAAACCCAGCTACACACAATGACCAGAGCAGCATTCACTGTAATCACTGGAAATAGTATTAGAAATTCATGTTCTGGGAATAAAATGTAAAGGCTTCCTTCGGTGCAGATGGCATTCCATGTACTGAATTGATCCTGATGTTCATGAATCATGCACGATAAACACCTCTTGAAATTGAAATCCTTGATTCACAGGCCAAGTACAGCTTAGCCAAGACAGCATTCCCCATTCTTCTCACTGCAAACCTCTTCACCAAGTCTATTCTTCCATTTCCCTCAAATCCCACAAAACCTTTCCTTTACTGTTTTGGTGGTTATCCTAAAATGAAAGTACTCCCTTAAAAAAAACAATCCACATATATATGCTTGTAGGTCGTATTTTTGTCGTATTATTGCTGCTCTCACATTGCCTGTTCTGTTCTTCTCTGTCACATATCTGTTTATGAGCATCCCTTGTTAGATTACCCTGAATTTATATTTCTCTGTTTAACAGGGACTGGACTGAAAAGTTTTTCATATCTCAGTAGTTTTTAATCCATATTTAGACAAATTAAAACTATCCTGTTTTTAGCTGCCCCACACTCACCAGAACAGATTTCTTAAAAAACTCAGCACAGTTCAAAGGTATTGAGACCTTTAAACTCCAATGAAGCTAATGACAGAGCTATGTCAATCTGCAGACTAAGTTAAAACAGAAGTAACAACAAGCTGCACTAGAAACAATCAATCTTGCTTCTTCCTATGAGGCAGAAATAATCCTTTACGTATCCTACACACACACATCTGATACACCGAGAGAGCCTGCCCAGGGTCACCTCTGCAGCAGTGTGCCAATCTCCTCCTAAAGACCAGAGAGCTTTTAGTCTATGAGTTAGGCAGATACAGCGTTCCAAAGCATGGGTAATTTTACCACTAACCTAGCAAAAACAGTGGAAGAGAGTGAAATTCAAATTTAGTGGGGGTAGCAGACGTGTTCTGTCCAAATCCAGCTATGATTGCTGGCAGCTGCCAAACCTGAATACTTAACCTTTGCCATGTCCACAGCAGAGAAGGCAGAAAACAAGGCAGGACATCATTCCCTGGCAGCAGTGTCCCATCATTCCCTGGCAGCAGTGTCCCATCACTCCCTGGCAGCAGTGTCCCATCATTCCCTGGCAGCAGTGTCCCACCATTCCCTGGCAGCAGTGTCCCATCACTCCCTGGCAGCAGTGTCCCATCACTCCCTGGCAGCAGTGTCCCAGGCTGTTGCATGAGTCAGTGCTGTGGTCCCAGTGCCAGAGGCCCGTGTGAGCAGAGACAGGGACACTGAACTGCCAAAATGGGGCCCTGCCAAAGCTGGCTGACAGCAGAGGGATGGGGCAAGCTGGTGGTGGCCCTTGAGGGGAGTCACTGACACAGTGACCCTCAAACCAAAAGTGGTAACTCCAGCATATGTGATTCAAAGTCCCTTGCCCTGGCTGGGTGGCAGGAGTGTCTTTTGCAAGGGCAGTTTAGGCAGTTAAAGTAAATAAAGTGTGTGTGATGCCAGGGACCGTGTGTTAATACTTGTTTACTCCATGTTTAAAGTTTCTTATTTGAGAGTAAAGTCATCTACTTTTTTCTTTTTTTTTATCTTGTAATATAATCAAACTAAAACATGGACAGAGCTGAGATTTGATCACTGTGCTTTCACAGCTCTTAGGATGGTAAATCCAGGTACCATTATTTAACAGATTTAGCCCTTGTGCATAGCAGGCTTTCTAAGGAGCTACCCTGGTGTTAAGCAGGAATAAATAGCATAGTGAACAATGGTTTAGTACCAAGCAAACTCAAAATGCCAAACTGTTGAAGAGGACAGGGGAACTTTGCTGTGGTTACTGTTTTATTCATGCACACTCTGATTCTAACCTATCTTCCTTTCATCACATTCCTTTCGAAATTACCAGTTACTTTATTATCTGCTCATACACAGGCATCCCACCAGCAGAGCCACTAGGTAGGCCTAACTATATGATACTAAACTCACCAAGCTCCTCTTTACAAGAAAACCATGCAATTCTTTCCTAGCATAAAGAATGCCAGAAAAAGAGAAGGCAGGCTTCCTAATTAAAAATTCTTTCTGAGATGCAGTGTCTCAATTGCACAGACAATCACTGTAGGGCAAAAGCAGTTCTTTGTCCAAGATAATTATATGCTTGGTCATTCTGCTAAACCTTCCTTTGAGAGCACAAATTAATATGCTTTACAATGTTGCCTGCTAAAAGCTGTGGTGAAACCAACGAGTTTGTTTCATATAAAGCACCCAAATTGCCTTTGGATGGCCACTGTCTCTACTAACCTAATCCTGACTGGAAACAAACCTTGGAGCCAAGGTGCTCTAGATGGCAAATAGCTGTGCCATGAGCTTCCTTGGGATGTACTGCTGCTGCTTCAGTCCCCCCACAGAGCACCAAGGCTGTCATGCACCTCGACACAAAGAGCAGAGACCTGGCTCACCTGCCAACAACTCTGTGCACAGAAAAGCAGGGCCAAACCAGCACCTCAGCATGCAAAAATTGTAAAGCAGTGCCCTCAAATTTAGTAAGAACTAAATCTTATCCTTAGGACACACCTTCACCGGTCGCTGGGTGAGTTGAAACCCCTTTTTTAGCCTTTTGCAGAACCCTGAAGGATCAGGGTAGAAACTGTGACTTTCAATAGTTATCAGAGCTGAGTTGCTTGACCATCAGCTGAATTACCTGCCACCAAGACTTTTTAATGCCTGACCTGAACACACTGTACCCTTCCCAGCACTGGAACAAGCACAGTTGCCACAGCACTCAGGAGTCTAAACTATACATAAATGCATACCCATGGTAAAATTGGGTGTGCAGGTTCCCACTCGCATTTCACAATTAGAATACAGCTCTGAGAAAGAGTGAGGCAATTCAGCACTGGGGGGAAAAGAAAAGAAAAGGCAAGATATTTTTGAAACTTGGCACAGAGGAACTGAAGTTTCTGAACTGAGGATGTTCTTCCCGCTTGAAATGTAAAGGGGTTTAAAGAATGATGAAATCTGCATTTTTATCTTTATCCCTTTCACTTTCTCCAAACGGCCCTAGCCATATAAATATAGAATACAACTGCCAGTGAGAGCCAGGAGTCGCAATATTTTATACAAAAGGCAGCAAATGAATTAGCCTTTCCTACAGTTAATCAGAAGTGAAATGTGCTGTCTGATCCCAAGGGCTTACCTTGGTTGAAGTCTCACGACTGTTTCCTGGCACCTCAGAGCCACGTTCTGTGTGTAGTCATTAGCTGAGGATCCAGGCTTCCCCTGCCACTCTGGGAGGCCTGGCAATGCACATTCCAGCTCCTGCACAAAGCACACCAAAAAAAGAAAAAATTCAATGTGCCCTGTCAGTACCAATCAGGCTTAGCTGAACGTTTCGCTTTGAGAAAGAAATTGCTCCATGAGACTGGATGCTGATTGTGGATCTTTGTTCTTTTTTTTTGGGTAGTAATCTGGAAACATGTGGAAAACACAAAACACATACTAGAAAATGTTCTAAACAAAATAGTATGTTCTTTCTCTGGAAAACAGTTTTTGAAACCAAAGCAGACTGTAACCCATTTTCTGTTTGTTAGTTAGATAACAGATGTCAGCTTCTGAGCTAAGAGGTACTATACACAGAGTTCATTTGAATTTATTTACTCACATGTCAGTAATTTTACTACTTGGCTATCACCAGAAAAATTCTGGCTGACAAAGGCAAATGCAGTTCACTTAAGTAAGATTTGTAAGGTTTAACCACCTTCCTCTTTTCCTTCCCTAGAATATGTGTAGCTTTACAAATAGAGTATTACTGCGGAAGGAGGGAAAGGCATTGAGGGGAAAAAATGTCACATCACCCAACCTGCAACACAGAAAATAGAAAAGCCAATTCAGTCCAAAAAAATGAGTAAGGGAAGAGGAATGAGAAAGGTACCCATTTTACTCCAAGCTTTCAAAAAACAGTTGTAGGGCTGTGATGAGATGTGTTCAGCACATGTTAATTTTCCTGCCTATAAAATGGTCTGAAATATTTCCCTTGCATTGCAATGGGGTAAGTTAATGAAGTTCTTTGAAAATGTGATAATCAAAGTGGGACTTTTTTCCTGCTTCTTTATTAGCTTTTATAATCCAGTATTTTAGTCTAAGAGTTCATCAAATTAAAATATGATGTGCTTTGCAAAACAACAGTGTTCACTTCCCTGGTAAAGCAATGTGTCTGATTTTGCCTCAATTTCAAAGCTTAGTTGGATGCATGGAAATCAGAAGTTTGGGTGGGAATGTTCGGATGGCAACTCAGAGGGCAGAGAGAACATGGCAATTCGAGATGGTCTCTGCTAGACGAAAGGGAAAGCTGAGGACAAGAGTATTTGCTGGCAATAAACGCTTGCAGGCTTGATGTTTGAGGACTTGGGTGGTTTGGGGTTGTTAATCTCTTTTATGTTTTTCTTTTTTATGTCTTTGTTACTGCTCATAAGTCGTGTCATTAGGGTGTTAAGGAGTAACCCTAGGGAAACACCCTTGATGGAACCTCCATTTCTAAGGAGCAGTGAAATCCATTCCTGATGCGTCAAAGGTATCCAACAGTAGAGTATTGTCTTCTATTTTATTTTTGTTTCTTTTTCACTAGAAAGGGTGAAGCTTCTACAATGAAGTTGCATCTGCTAAGCAGTCTGTGAAGAGGGAAATCTCCAGGCATTGCTGAGAAGTCCCAGTGCTGCATAATCACCACCATGATATCTGCTTTGTACACAAAACACTATGTGGTTTGGAAGCAGCCAAAAATTAATATCATGGATACACACATGTTGGGATAAACAAACTTTTGTTTCACAAGTTAAATTTTTTTTAAAAATCTAACTCCCCCTAAAAAATCACAGCATGTCATAACCCATCTCTGTCAGGGCACCTGAATTACAGTACATGCATACTTGCTGTAATTACAGAGCAGTTTAATCTGTCCTTGAACTCCAGAAAGTGCCTTGCATCCTTTATTCAAAACACAAACACTCCCATTTCTCTGCAAATGGAAGCACCATGCAAATATTGAACCAGCACTTGGAAGCACAGCTTTGGTTACCTTGTGGTGCTGTGTCAACATAGAAAACAGCCAGAAATTAATCCTGGGCAGAAGTGCCTCCTATACCTCCTGAAAATTCCAGTCCATACAAGAAAATAGGCAGGTACATTTAATGGACAGTGAATTGAAGAGATTTAACCCGTGATGGGAGCCATGGCCTAGACATAAACAAAGTATACCTGGAAACTGAGCAGAACTTGCAGACTGCCTGACACATTTGTGAGTTTGTGTAGCTGATGTGTCAACATCAGCTCTGGTTTTTGGATTCCTGTGCACTTAAAAACACAATTTTGTTGTCAAACTATTGGAAGCTCTTTGACATCCAAGCAATTTGCCCCTTAATTTATACTTAAAATACTTTCACTCTACAGTCTTCAGCATTTCCAGCTCTAGGCATTGATTGTCAAGCCACTATTTCATTTTTATAGTCATTTACCTTGATAGCAAAACTTTAAAACTGAACTTTTACTGTCTCTACCTATTAGCTAGCATTTTTAGTGTCCTTTTATAAATATGTTTCTGTATCAATAAGGAATTTGAGGATGACTCATTTAATAATGACTGTGCATCAAAGGTGAGTGACAGGAGAAAGGACTGGGCAAGGAAAGCAGACTTTTTATTCCTCACCATCTGTTCTCACAGTGACTCCCTGGAGTATGTTCTGGGCATATGCTTCTTCACCTCTTGAAGTCAAATAAATCCTAATTAATTTGATTTTCTATAGATTAATTTTGCAGAATTGCTAAAGAAACTCATGAAACCACAGGAAAGAAGAAACCAAATAGCTGTGCAATAGGAGTGCAGCAGTGTAATCACATTCCAGCAGCCTGCCTCTCTCCCCATACTTTGTTTGGAAAGGTTACAGCTGCTTCCATACCCAGCTCTGCCCCCAGAGAAATAACTGCACGCAATATGCAAAGCACAGTTTTACTCTAGTGACATTTTATCATCTGACAAGTGGTCAAGTGAAGCCACCTGATACTGCTCTTTTATTGCACTTGGTTTTGTTAATCATCAGTGTAAATTTAATAACCTTATCTTCATGAAGACCTAGGGTACATGACCACAGTACTGCACTTGTGCCAAAAAAAAATCAGAGGCACAGGAATTGCACTTCAGCAGACTGAGAGCCTTGTGAAGCTCAAAATCCCCAAGTTGGCCACCTTTCCTCTACTCGACCACAGTGGTCTGTTCCCTCTCAGTGACCTTTCTACAGTGGAAATCCCTTGGATTCTCTCTACTAGAAAAGCACATAAAAATGGTTCCCATCCAAACTGACTTTAATCCTTCCAACACATGCAGCAAACTTACTTATCTCCCAAGAGCCTATTCTAATTTTAAAGGCACAGTTCTCTAAAGAAACATCTCATGGGATTATAATACACAGGAGCAAATAGAAAACAGTTCCTTGGCTTATCAGAGCAACACCTTTAAAAGAGACAGTGTCACTGCAACATTGTCAGTGCTTCTGATGTCACAGAGAAGTCAGGTTGGGGAAGTGAGGACACTGTTGAAAAAGCACTCTATCAATAAACTTGGGAAAATGAGGATGAACTGTTTCATCATGATGTGCAGTGCATCATGCTTTTCTTTCATAAATGCAGGTACTCAGCAAATGCTGTTTCTCAGTTTGACATCAGCTCCTTTTAAGTACATCACATGGAGTGGCTTGGTGGCAAGCTGTGTCACCAAAGGAAGGTATATGCAGTTGCACAGTGTTTGAAAGTATCACCTGGCCCACTTCCAATAATAAAAACCTGCCATACACACATGAACAACAGCCACTAGAAACAACACAGCAGCACTTTGCTTTCAGCTTCAAAGCAGAGAGAAGCAATTGCTGCCAGTTCCCAACTAGGGCTGTTAACACAGGGAGCTGAGACAGGGTTTGGGAGGTCACAACACAGCAAGGATCCCAATGAGAGCCCACACACAAAACCAAACCCTTCTTGGGGCTCTTCTGCAAGAAGAATCTTGTTTTTCTTGAGCGCCGTTGATGAAGCCAAGGCAGGTGCTTGCTTCCTTAAGAACAAAAGCCCCTGAGGTAGCTGAAGATGCAGCAAGTGAGCACTCAGGGTCAAGGAGCACGTGCATCCTTATTAATGAGAATAAAGGCTTGGTAGATGTTTTCTCCAAAACAGCTTCCTTCTGCAAACCATTCCCAGGAGCAAAGTCTTTCCATAACAGCACGCGCCACTGAACTCAGTCTGGATATAGGATATCCATCAAAAAGTGTCCCATGGTACTAGGATACCATTCCCACTATGAATGAGTGGAGTTACTGTTATGGAGGGATGTTTGCTTTGTGTTTATGCTGCATATTACACTCAAAGCTCTGCACTACTCTCATCCTCAAGTATTCCCATAAATCAGAGCTAAAATGGTTCCTACTCATCTTACATCTTCCATTATGCCAGGGATGGGAGCAAGCGGTAGCGTGGAGCCCAGGACCACTTCTGTCTTTCCTAATTCAAGCCCTTGAATCATGTGAAAATTATCTGCCTGACACTGTTTTTCCTTCCAGAGGCTGCACACCTAAGTTGCACTGGCATTTTATGGCAGTCTAATTATATGCTCAAAAAGTTTCCCAGGAAAGAATATCAACATTTTCAGATAACCACTTCAGACCACTACAGAGCAGTAAATCTGTGCTGTGTTGGCTTTCACTGGGTGAGAGATACAGACAGGACACACACAGGGAGCAGGCAGACAGGGGGCTTGGAAGTAGCTGAAAGAACAACAGATGATCTGTGAGACAGATCTTGCCCTGTTTACTTCTTCATGATTCCTATTCCTGATATGCCTCTACTTGCTCTTCATAGGTCAGAATTCCCACCATTTTTCTTTTCAGTTGATAAACATGTACGCCTCATCTTCCTGAAGTCTAAATAATATTTCCTAGTAATGCAATACAGTTGCAAAAAAGCCAGTTATTGCTTATCTCTGGGATGAGATCCAGAAGAACATGCAGGAAGATAAGGGGAAAGAGTTTGATATTCCTTCTGTAGGAGACTGTGATAATACCACTGGGATGCCATTTGCTTTTCATTTTCCTTCTGGGATTCAAAAGAATAGTTCTCACTTAGAAGGTAAGACATTCTGTCCAAAATGATGAAATCCCATTATAAACTTGAAAAAAATGGTCCAAAATAATTCCTACTTTATGACGGGTTTGAAGCCCTGCAGAAAGCGCTCTGCAAATTTCTATCCACAGACAAGAAGGGAGGAGAGACAAAATGTAGCCAAATACATTATACATCAAAGAAGATATGTAAATACAGACATCTGTATTTACAGATATCAGGCTTTGTGCCTACTGCAGGCCAGCAAATCTCCCAGCATTAATATTAACTCTCTTGGATATGAGAATATTTCTAGCTGAGGAGTTAAATCTGCACAAGACCTCTACCCCTTACACTGCACATCAGACGTGACTTGGGAAGCACCAGGGAAGAACAGAGGCATTATCAGCAGCTGCTGAGAGGTGGTAACTCTAGAGCTGACATAGCAAATGTACCTCCACAGACAGCAGCAGAAGCTTCTTCATTTCTAGTCTTCTTTTATACCCTTCAGAAAAGTTATAGTTTCAACCTGGGAAGCTTGTGAGCAAGAGCTCTGCTACCAGAATCTGCATTGGAATAGACTTGTTATTTAAAGATGAGAAAACCAGAAATTAATATAAAGGGAAAGTCATAAAACTCTCTATTGGCAGCCAAAATACCAGCACAAGAGATCCTCAATCAAACAAACAAAACAGAAAATGTCTAATCAAGCGCTGCAACTACCAAGTTTTTTATATCTGGTGCAAGGAAACACAGAAAATATAAAGGGAGATATCTTCAGCTATGCTGTGCACCCACTCATGACAGAGGTTGCAACATAGCCCTCTCTGCAATTCCCTGGCTGAAAGAAATTGTCTGTTGTTATAGGATGGTTCCAGGACTGCAGGTCCCTGAAAATCATGGTAGATTATCCTGAGGTCTTGATCACATCATGAATTACCAGGGGGTCCCACTTTGCATTTCAAAAGTTATGTTTGCTCAGACACCGTACCAAAAAACGACCCCTGGTAAGTTTAGTTCTTTACCTGACTTTCCTCATGGCTTTTTCCATTTTCTAGCTTTGCAATGGGCTTGGGTTTTCTCAGCTTTAAGTTGCCCATTTCAGGCTTTAGAGCACAGTCAATCACAGCCTGCTGCCTGTGCTGCTGAGCATCTGGCAAAGGCAGCTGCCTTTCCTCTAAGACAGCACCGTTGTCCGGATAATTTTCTTTGTTATCATCATCTCTGTAAGAAAGTAAAATTGAAATGCATCAGGCAGGATTTCAGACACCTGTCAAAACATTAGGGAGGAAAAAGAGCAACAAGTGCTTAGCTATTCATGGCATATTGCTTTTACTAAGTTGAGTGGTCTACACATCAAACACTGCATATGTCAGTAACGTGAGTCTAAACTACGGTTAGCATTATTACACATTCAACTGCGGAGCTACTTAAATAAGACTAGTTTTAGAGGCACTCTTTGGCTTCAGCCCTGTAGTTCACATCCCCCAAATAAAATCTGAAGCTGTCCTTTTTACGCAGACGGCCTTTCACCACCCAATGATTCACAGTAAGTTGTAATCTCACAAGAATGTCATTATATAGAACAGTTCCTCTCTACAGTCTCACTTCCCTTCTGACAGGCTCTGGTTTTGAGGGCTTTTGAACAAAGTGAGGGAGGTAGCCATTCAGGTAGGGTCCGAACAGCCAGAGGTGTGTTTGGGTGGAAGGGACAAGTGCCATGTGCTCCCAGTTTGGAGAAAACGTCCTCCTGTATAACAGCACACCTGGGGGTTTAAACAGACACTGTTATTCATGGATGCTCAGGTAACCACTGAATCTGGGACAGGCATTTTCAATCTCCACCCAGCCTGCAATGTGCAAGCTGTCCCAAGAAGACCTTGCTAGTCCTATCCACGCCCAGTCATTCCAGCTTTAGACTGGCCTAATGCCTTCCCCTGGTGGTGTCTCCCCGGCACCATTAGGAAAGTCTCCGCAATGCAGGATGCTGGGCTGCCTGATCAGCTGGCAGGATGAGCAGGTCAGCATTACTGCTCCAAAATCCCTGGCTGTAGCTTAGTTTGCAGGTGGGATTTCAGATGTTAGCTTCAGCTGGTAAAATCCTAATGGAGAGATAACCTCTCTCCTGGTATGAAACTTTCCCAGCTGAGGGAGTCAAGGACTACTGAATTAAATCCCCCTGAGTTTTTTTTTGGTTTGTTTTTTTTTTTAGAAAGCGTAACTTTCTAGTTCAATGTTTTCTCGCAAGGATTCTGAGCTGCCAAACTCGCTTTCCATCTGTGGCCCATCACCATCCAGATGGATGCTCACAGGGTGCCTGTGGAGCTGAACACCATTGCTGCCCATGCCTTCTGCAAGTGTGCTCCAAGGCAGTTGTTATAGTTACAGCGTAGGGTGCTTTATAGCCCACGGGCATCTCAACAATGTGCACAAGTGCTGCTAATTTTAAGGTGTGATCTGACTTTAAAATCTTTCTGAAAGGTTAAGTTGCACACTCTAGCAATCAACATATACTAACATAGCCATGAGAGAGATGTGCCTCAAGAATACTTCAGGTAAATTACAATTTGAAGGATTTTTTTTTCACAGAGACACTCATCAATAAGCATATCCTTGCACAGTTGCAAAACTCCACTTACCACTACTTTGAACCAGCTGCTGTACAGTAAAATTATTATTAGCAACCAAAGCTGCATCTGAATGACAGTAACACAATGTGAAGTTAAGAATACAGACCATAATATATTTACTTACATAATAACATCAGCAATTAATCTTAATATTGATTACACAAAAGTATACAAGACAAATATGCATTTCCCAGAAATACTAATGGCCTTTGCAGGTAATACCCCAGAAATTCTTCATTCCCTTGAGAATAAAGGCTTCTTTCTAATGCTTTAACAGAAGCACTCTGACAGCTCCTTTTGCTGCCAATGGATTTCAGACAGAGCAGGATACCTGGGACTGGAACTGCCTGCTTGATCTTCATGGACAGAGTCTGAATCCCCGTCACACCTTGAAAATGAATACAAGATAATTGCTGACTTTCTGCCAGCTGCAGAAGCTTAGCTTTTAAATAACATGACAGTGCAGCTCAAAGTATAAACATTTCTTCTTCTCACACCTTAGTTAGAGTCACTTAATGCCATAGCTGCTCCATGATAGTCTAAACCTCAGAGGAAGAGGAGGATTTGAGATGTTAAGTGTGCACAATTCGGTTTACCATTTTCAGACAGATGAAAATAATCACAAGGGATTCAGATGTTACCATAAAAATACAGGAAAATTACAAGAAATTCTGTATTTTAATTGCATATAGTATACTTCACTTTAAAACCAAAAATTACTAGATACAATTATCTAAAGGTGTTTTTCTCCTAAACTCACAAAAATATAAACTATGATAGAGCAGTCATTCTTCATGCAGCAAGAAAAAGAATCCCCAACTAAGTTATAAAGTGTTCATTAAATCTTAAAGAAGTGAACTAGCAGAATTTTTTAAGATGCCTGAAGAATTGTAGTCATTTACATCTCCTTAAGTTACAAACAACAAAATTGTCCTAAGGCTGCCTAATCAGAAGAGAAATCTGGATAAATATGCTAAACAACAGCCACTCAGAGCTGAACATTGCACTGTGGCTGCATGGCTGAACTTCACAGGGTGATACACCTGCAAAGCTTAGGAGCAGTCTGCCCTCAAATAAACATGCATATATATGCATACACCCCTAAAATATGCATACCCTGCCTGGTACTCTTTCTGGGGAAAAGTAAGGGGTCTCTCCTCACCCTCAGTTCATACTCACAGGGCACAGACACTAAGCAGGCCTGGATCTCTTGGAGTTTGCTGGCAGAGGAGTCTCTTCATTATGGGGGAAGTAGCCTGTACTTTCGCTGACTTCTTAAATTTTGAGCAGAGCTGCCCCGCTCAGAACAGAGCACATTAGGTGATACATCCATAGCTCTGCGTTGCAATTTGATGGCAAGGTTTTTAATACATTCCTCTTTCCCACCAGTCTCGTGCTGGTGTCTATATCAAAAGTCAGACTGCAGCAGAAAATATTTAAAGGGACACTCAAGTGTTTACACTTCTGAAGACATCAGCATATGGATGAAAGCATTTGCTGCTGGCCACTGGAACACAGAGCTACAGTTGCAGATCCCCCTTAATCACACAACATTCCTGCAGCCAGTGCAGTTCTCCCCATAAGGCAAAGTGGGATGATGAATGGAAGATAGGGGCAGATGTACAAAATGGATAAATTCACTGAAGAAATCTGGTTTCCTTTGCCTCTGGATGCCAGTCACATCTTCCCCTCTGGTCTGTCACTGACCACCTGATGGGTGTCTGGCACCAGCAAGGTGTGAGTGTGGACATACTGGGGGTATGAAGAAGGAAACCCAGTGTGAAAGGAACCAGGAACCTGGATGGACAACATGATGGAATGTTTCACAGGGAGTAAAAAGTAGAAAGGAAATACACTGTGAGGAGACAGTGCCAAGGTCAGAGTTGGATGGACAGGGCTCCCAGCACAGACACAGGAGTAGGGTAAGATGCCACCAGACATGCTGTGCATCATAGGCCAAGCAACAGTCAGCAAAGGCCAGGGACCTCCTAAAGGGACAAACTCTTCCTCCTGTGTGTGCCTTGCAAAGAGGGGCTGGGAGGAAGCATCTCTGCCAGCAGTTCCACTCACCTCCTCCTCTCACAGTCACTGCACTTGGCAACCTTCGGTCCTGAAATACCATCTTGGCCATCAGGAACACTCTCTGGAGGGACAATGGATGACTGAACACAGGTCCACCCCCCAAGCCTGTGTGTGCACACTTCTTCACTGAAGGAAGTGCCCCGGGGGTTACCTTCCTGAGCTGACTGTGTATAAGGTGATCTTGAGGAGCAGAGATGCTAACTCAGCATCCAGCGACTGACAGGAGTCATAGAACAAGACAACTTATAAACAACCTAAGTGAGCATGACAAAATGTATTTGAGCAACTGGATAGCAGTAGATAGGAAAGATAAGCAATAACGGATCAGAGAACAACATGCCCACCATGTAATTTTAAAAGATTGTGAGGAAGTTCAGAAGCAATACACTCTGAAATTGTTAACAGAAATTTATGTCTGTGTAAAAATAAATATTAACCAGGAATCTCATTCACACAAGGTTGTGTTGGAGGCTAGGACCATAGCAGGACCTTTAAAAAGATGAATTCTGATATAATGCAAATATCCATCATTAAAGCAGAGAGTGTTTTTACCTTGGCTTCGTAAAGAAATGAATCTTATGTGTCCATGGCACCTGTCTGCACATATCAAAACAGACATGCACACATTCCTCCCCTCTCACCAGTAACTTGTAAATCTTGTGGTCCAGCGTTGGCTGTATTTAACAGTGATATTGAAGAGTTTGGTAAGTTTGGTGATAGCTTGTGGCTGTGAATAGAGAGAGTTCCCACCAACCAAAAACTGCAGCAACATCTCACTCATTCCTAAAACATCAGAGAATATGCCAGGACGGCTTCAAGCCATAAATCCATATGGGCTGAAGCTTACACTGGGCAGAAACCAGGCCTTTTGACAAAACCAGTGGTGTGAATCCTTTTCCTTCAGTACCAATCTAACTACTGACTGATGGACACATCTCTCAAAATTAAGTACATCCAGTACCAGACCAGTAAGATCTTGTGGCATGGGCCAGAATCAGGTCAGAGGTGGGATCCCAGTCTAGCTGGACTGCTGCTCTGATTCTGTATAGTACTGCCCCTGTATGTTTCTTCCAACTGGTTTAACAAGATTAAACCAGTATAATGAGATTGGTTTAATGAGATTAACTTCTTTAACTTCCATTTTCACCTTTCCATAGGAGCCCTGGGAAAACTGCTCCCTTTTGCTGACTTGACCTTTGAGATGCTCACGTGAACAACTTCCAAACCAGGCTGCATCCATGGCCTGACGGAAGCTTTGCACCCCCAGGTACTTGCCTTATCTGGAGAAATGTTCCTGAAAGTACTGTATCACTGATTGTATATCATTTGGGAAGCCCTGATCTTGCCTTTAGCAATGCATTAACATTTAGCAATTGTTAAATGATGCACAGCAAGCTCTCTCTTTCTTCTTCTAAATAAAAGTAACCTATTTTCAGACATGGCCAGCACAAACAATGAGTGCTGAAGTCAGTAAGAATTGTTTATCCTCAGCAGTTCTCAAACACGGGCTCTGGGGGCAGGCTCTAAACAGGACTTAGGAAAATTAGCTCTGGAAACCAAGTTTGTTCATTTGGACAATGCTTTTCAGATGTCATTGTTCACTCGCTTTGTTTTCTAAAAGTACATTTCTATTCCTATTTGGAAATATAAGATTAAAAATGAAAGCCCCCAAAACAGAACCAACAACAGCTTAAATGAGGGAGACTCAGCCTTCAGGCAATGCCTGGCCCAGCCTGGCTCTGCCATTCTGCTGCCTCCCAGTCTGCACTCCTCTCCCCAGGGGCAGGGCTGGCACCACACACTCAGCTTTTATACCTTCTGGGCTCTTGGCTCAATATTAAGCCCCACAGAGAAAGACCATCACTTCTGGGTCCCAGAAACCTCATGGGTAAGACAGGCCTGGGGGCTGCTCCAGGGGAATCTCTACAGGAAACAATGGATGTACTTGGGGACAGAGATAAGGGAAGGAGAAAAAAAAATAAGAAAAATCTACTATCTGTAATCTGGCTATTTTTCTGTGACGGGGGAGCATCCCACAATTTTAGAGACCACAATTCATCTCTTAACTAATAGGAATATGGGAAGGCAAAAACAAACAAACAAACAAACAAACCAAAACTCAATGATTTATTAGCTTCTGTGCAATCTTTCCTTATCTGCCACAATCACACAAAATGCATGACTAAGTTAAAATAATAAATGAAGCAAGGCAATGTAAGCAAATAAAGTAAAGCCATATAAGAGATGGAAATTCTTTGGATCACTATGAGATCTTACTTTTTCTGTAGTTATTAAAATAACACCTAGGGATGGCTCAGACGATTACAACTTGGCCTGCTTTCAGAACATATCCTGTCCCCACCACTTAGGCAAACAGCTCACTGTCCAACAAGGGTGTTTTAAATTATGAGCATTTTAGCAGTGTAATACTCACCTAATGCACAAACAAATCTATAAATCATTTCCCTCCTGAAAAACTGCTTGGCACCTTAACTGCTGAGGAATCTTCCCCAAAAGCTTTTGAAATAATAAAAAGCATGCAAAATAATATTGTAGAGAACACCAATATTGAAGTGGTTTAGACTAAAACGAGGCATAGACTATTTCATTTGTAATAGTTCCTAAAGCCTTTGCCTTTCTAACTTTCTAATGTTCTCCCTTGTTCTGTCCTGCTGTCTCTATAAAACAACAAGAAAAATCAACTTACATATATATCCTTATGATCATGATATGTGCAAAAGGCCTTCTAATGAGTTTATGGAATTGATTATGAAGAAATTACATATTTGGTACTTGGCCTGTCTAAGTAATGTATAGGGTTTTTTTTCAAAACATTTGCAAATAATTCTTTTCTCTAATGATGCTTGTGGTAAGTACAGACCATGTGTCCTTAGAAAACTGACGTACTTGTGTTTGTCAGGATCCTCAGTGCCAGAAATGAGCAATATTTTGACAGGAGATTTATCCTACACTGAAAATCATGCATTTAAACATGTGTGATGTACACCAAGCATATATTCACCCCAAAAAAAGAAAATTCACTGCTAAATGGTCACGGAGCATTTAAAAGCAGCTGTTTCATGCAATCCTTCCCATAGTCACTAATATACTTAGGTTACAGAAAACTGAATCGAAATATATGACACGTAGCTTGGGGCTTCTCTCATACTACTTACAATTATTCTTTACAGCAACTAAACTCATCGTTCTTGTGTAAAAACAAGGACATCTTTAAAGTGTTCACTTACTCTGCTAAAGCTGTCGTGCTGAAGGAATTCTCCTGAATGCTGAAACAGAAACAAGAACACATCAGATAAATCAGCAAGGCAGGCAGGCTCCCTGTCTCCTTCTCAGCTGTGGGAACACATGCAGCAACATGGCATTGCAAGGCACGTCTCTGTGTGTTGGCTCTGCATGCACGGCTGTACCTCGGGCTGCTCTGCACATGCTCGTAATCAAGGAACCGCGGGGATCAGTCCTGCAACACTCACAAAGCCCCGCCAGCAGCGCCCTGAATTAACACAGGGATGCAGGTAGGCTGGGAGGCTCAGAAAGGGATCATATTCTTTTATAACTGTAACTGCTGCTCATAAAGGCTTAGGTTTACGGACAAGTGTTTGGCGTTCTGTGCTTTAAATGTTTGCTTTACGTTATTGGCTCGTCAAACGCAGTGTTTTTTATTACTTAAATAAGGTTGCTCAGCTAAGCTCTCTGGAGGTTTTCTTCTTGTTTAGTGGTCTCTTGCACTCTCAGCTCATGGCCAAACCCCAGGGGATTCCATGAAAAAAATAACCTGCCAGAAAGGACAGTTCAAGTAGGAAAAGGTTATTAAGCTAACAGCAAGCAGTAGATTAAACCATTCCCGTGAAAGGAATAGGCTGCTATGCTCCTGCAACAAAAATGTTTCTGACCTGATGTAATACGTCCAGTAGGGTCAGCTCAGGATATTGCAAACTGCTGGTTTTGAGGCAGCGGTGGAATTACCCCCCGAACAACACCCCTCAAATCCAGTAAATACACTCTTGGATCATCCTGGAATCTTATAGCAGCGGGGAAAAGAACAATAATCTCACTGCTACATACCAGAGACGGGATTTTGCTGTTGTTGTTGTTGTTTGGGTTGGAGGGGGGAGATGGCAATGCAAACAGCAACGTCTTAGGAGCACTCCTGTTTGTGACAAAGGCATCTCGCAGACGGCAGCATCAAGCGGAGCAGGGACAAAGAGAGGCGCGTCCTCCTCCTCCGCAGCAGCTTGTGTGGTGTTGACACATATTTCCCAGGCAGCAGCCGCAGCCAGGAATCACAGCCCTGACAATTGCCTTTCTTTCACCGACAGCGCTAACAGTGCATCTGATCTTCACCCCTTCCCAGCCTCCCCACCTGCTCGCACACACCGCCGGCTTTCTCCTTTCCCTTATTTGTACACATATGTCAACTCACACAATGGCCTGAATTACCTGGGGATCGGAATATCACAGCCACTCTAGTGCCCTACAGAGTAGCATGTTTTGTGAGAGAAGGGTGTACAGAAAAGCTAAATCCAATGGTTAGCAATCAAATCCTGCCTTAGAACTAAAATTTCAAATTTTTCCTCCTCCTCCAGTTTCTTGAGTCTGACCATACAAATATAAATTTCTTTATTGCTATTCTACTTGCAGGAGAGCAACTGAATGAAAGGTATGGTCCTAGTTGTTGTGGCAATCAAAAATTCAATTTACATGCTCAATAAGTAGAGTTCCATTAAAAAAAAAATATTTTTAATGAATATACTCCAGAATGCTTAAGTGGTTGGCTCTTGATTTTCAGTGCTTAGGCTAGGTCTACAGCTAGCATTTCAAGTGGAGGAATCACTACTTTTTATCACAAAAATCATATTGATAAGAATCATAGCTTGATTAGAGTAGAGCTTAAAGAGGGACTGAGTATTTATCCCCACTCCCCTACCTACACCCACACAAGAAGGGTAAAGAAGAGACAATGCTCTCATAAATGTGACTTTTCCATTTCTAAGTGCAAAAGTTAAGACCAAATTCTCTGCAAATTCATGCCCTGTGCAAACACAGTGCAGGGCTTTGGTGTTATTACTAGTAAGAGAATATGTCTGAGGACCAGTTTATAAAACAGGGATGCTTTGGACTGAGACCAAGTTTAAAATGTCACCGCTTTTCTATTGTTTGTCTGAAGTTTGGTGCTGTAGAGCTGTTGCCAAATCTCCTTTAGGGAAACACTTTACAGTTATTTCAGCTCACTCAAAAACTTTCACTTGTTTTAAAGAGGGTACTTGATCAGTGTTATTGGATAGTCTCTTCTTGTAAGGTTGTGAAACCATTCAACAACATAAAAATTTCATGCAAAACAGAATAGCATTAATAAATACATGAAGGTAAAGGCCAGCCAGATTCAGGAACCTGTTTCAGAGCTCATGGCCCGAGCAGAGAGATGAAGCCATCCTGCTCCTGGGGGAACCCAAGAGAGGAACCACGGTAGACCCACTGTACTTCCTTCTTTTCCTTGCAGAAGGAAGTAATTTGTCTTTAGTAGCAAACCCTTGTTTCAACAATGATGCCAGTTTGGGCCTATTGGCTGTCCCCAGTTCCTTCCACCTGCTTCCTGCCCACATGCTCTGGGTGAGACTGGAGCAGGCAAAGAGCCTCTAGCCCTACAAGGGAGAGCCAAAGATGCCTGAACCTGCATCTCTGTTTCCTTCTAAGCCTCAGATTCGGGGAAAATATAACACTGCTATTACCTCCTTATTTTCAATAATGATGTTCAAGCCAATTAGGCTTGTAATGTTACAAAACATCGCTCTTTAACAGGCTGAAATTCTCATTGCCAGATATATTTCATCACCACATTCAGATGACATGCCAGGTCTCTTATCGTCCTGAACTCTCAGTGAAAATAGTGCTACACCTACATGTGAAGGAAGCTTTGGACTTCCCCACTGAGTAGCAGACACAAGGACTTTTTATTTTGAAGTCATTAGAAATTCTGAAAATAAAGGTTTTTTAATCGGCTTTTCCTTATTTATTCTGAACAGTTTCAGTGATTCATATTTTTGCAAATCTTATCTATGGAAAGATACTTTCTTTGTTGAAAAGCTTCCCATTTTATACCTAGTTTTGTTCTTACCCTCTTTTGCCAAATGTTGATTAAGCCAACATTATAAACATGACATAACAGCTCCCAGCTGACAACAAAAATGCAGAGTTCCCCAAAGCAAACGTCCACACTCATTTTGGAGATACCAGGTTTCAGAAATATATTGCTGTTCACTTCTGAAAATTTGACTAATACACTGCCTACTTATGACTGACAGATTGGCATAGAAATTCCATTCTTTTTTTCGGTTTGTATCATCAAGAGAATCACTGCTAGGTCAAGAAGAAGAATGAAATAGGAATCAGCCTCCAGCTTGATTTTGCATGTAACAGAGACACACACTCAACATAAATATTACGTTCAGAAGCTTGGAACAATATTAACTGGCACTATAAACTTATATCAGGCAGTGAATGCCTTGCAAAGGCAGTCTAAGTCTGCAAAAGAAGAGAGACATAGTGAAGCAAAAGTGGGCAGAAATAGTTCTGGCTTCAGGAGAACAGGAGACAGTGCAACAATCAAGATCAAAAGGTCAGAAAAAAAAGAGGAATAGTGAATCTTGCCAAGCTAGAATTGTCTAAAAGGCCACACACACATGCACCTCTGCAGGCTTTGAGGCTTTGTGGGTTCACCTGCAGAACAGAACCTTTGCCTCAGTTTCCAGAGTCTGCTCACCTTAGTAAATCTTAAGGGCATTTCTGACTCAGATAAATGATGAGGCCTTTCAGCCTTAACTACAAATAATGAAGAATTTGTACTGGGAAATAAACCGTATTTTTAAGGTGGAGATTAGATATTTACAAAGAACTCTAAACTCTCTAAGGTTCTGTGAAAGTTAGTATTTCTGCATTTAACATCTGCTATCTAATGACAAACTCAATGTAATCCTATAGGGTGTGATTAGCATTCATTGCAAGACTATTTTCTTTATTATTATTTGTTATTCCACAGAGTCCAAAGTGCTTGTGCTGAAATTGCTGCATCAGAGGGAATTACATTTTGCACTGCACTTGGGCCATACAAGGGAGCTGCTCTAGATGCTGTGGAGGGACGTGAGAGACACACAGTATGACACACTGTGCATGATGAGGAGCCTGTGGCAACTCCCTCCAGCTCTGGGAAGAAGTTACTCATGTTCCACTACCCAAATAAAGGGAAACTTGGAATGATCTCCCCCCTACTGTCTCTCTGGATGAAGTCAAGTCATCCCTGCCAGAACCAAATGAGCTCAGAGACTCATAAAAATATTGAGCAAATTTGTTTGTCTTGGAGTATGTGTGTTCCAGCCAAGAAACAATACCCTGAAGTGCTCCAGCAGTCCTTCATCTCCCTCTCAAATTGCACCAAAAAGGAGGTGCACTGAGCCATACATAGCATATGCTTTCATGGACAAAATGCATTCAACTCCACGAAGGGGCAGGTTAAACACGCTTGCCTGTCAGGCCACACCGCTACTTCTGAGGTCACACTTGCCACTGAACACTTTTTTTTAGGCAGCAAAGCATTAACTCATCTCTGGCTTTAGCAAGTCCATTGTTTTCACACACACAGAGCTTTCCTGAGGGGTAAGAGCAGGAACCAATCTGCAGCAAAGTGTTGTTAGCGCTGTGGATCATTCCAGCGCCTTGCCCTTTCTTCAGAAGTGATCCTGCAGGATACTTTTGCTATTTTCCAATCTGTAAGGCATAAACCAAGGGGCTACCATGTGAGAGAGAAGTCACATGGTTCTTTCCTGTAGTGATAAATACTGAATGCTACACGCTGTGGCTCAAAATATTCATGTGTTCACTGACTTGCTTCCTTGAGGAGCAGCCTGCCTTTTTATGGGTAACATTCTCAGAGACATCAGGAAACATCTTGGGAGAAGCTAAACTAAAATACAGCAGTTACATGCAGGAGCCAGTTGGTGAGCACTCAGTCCAGTTTCTGTACCTTTGATTTTCTCAGTGACCTAATTAGGACGTATCTGAGTGAACGGGCCTGGGGGGAAAAGTGTTCAGCTGATCCTGCTGTATGTCTTAAACCGAACTGACAAGCTCCTGCAGGAGGAGACTCGAGCTGAGCGTAGGTGCAGACACAGCTGTCCTGATCCAATCCAGGGTGATTCCATAAGGTGCACTTCTGTTGGGTTGGATAAAGCTCTGTTCAATTGCACAGACCTTCAGGGTTATATATTATGGAGAT